ACACCAAGTAATATGGGCTGGTACCCAAAGGCCTTTGTAAGCCTCCTGGCAGCTTCCACACCAGGGAAGTCCTCTGGGCCTGACCCCAGGCCCTGTGCTTTGTGAAGGGGCACCCGGGCCTTGCGGTCGTCGCAACACCTCTCTGAAGCTCAGTTTCCTCATCTGGCAACTGGGGACAGGGCTACCTTCCATGCAGAGTTATGGTGAAGTAAACCGGAATCACAGAACCTTCAGGAAACAGCTATTGAGTTGAATTGGTCTTTTAAGGACAAAGGACAGACATATCCCCAACCTAGCCCAGGAAGGGTCGAGCCACACTTCAGCGCGCAAAAAAAAAAAAAATCGCAACCCCTGCATTTGACCCTGTGTGCTTTGGGGGGCCTAGAGAAGCACTCACCCCTCTTCAGCTATGTCTGCCCTGGAAAAGGGCCTTGGGAGCAAGTTTGCCTTTAGTTATTGTTCCCCCAAATCTAAAAGCAGCAAACACTAACTGAGTACTGACTGTGTGCCAGACACTCTGCTAGCCCCCAAATGACGTCACTTTACGCAGGAGGAAACAGGTGGACAGCTGAGCCCTGGGCACTTAGTACCAGGTGGAATGGAGCCTTGAACCTCCAAAGTCTGCCTCTAAACTCCATGCTCTTAGAAAGGGAAAATTATCTACTAGAAATAAGTGAAAATATTAATGTGGGACAGTCTTTCACAGTTGCAAAGCCTGGGCATGCATGTGACTCAGTTTTGTCCTGACGTCACTAGATGAGCATGGTGTTAGCATCTCCATCCTACAGCTGAGGACAGGGAGGCCGGGAGAGGTGACATGAGCTGCCCGAGGATGGAATGTGGGTCCGTGCCTGACTCCCAGTCCTTTGTTCTTCCTTCTGCTTGCCAGCTGCCTCTTGGGGAGATCATTATGTAGCTTGAATGGGGGCCGCCAGCAGGCCCCAGTGAACACCGCGGGCGTGGGCCAGCCTGCCCCATGCCTCCATGTGTCCACCTCCGCTGGGCGGCGCCCCCTTCCTGCATCCACCGCGCCTTCCATCTCAGAGCCTTAGAGCTGCTAATTAGTTCTGAGGGGAATGTAGATGAGTGATTTTCAACCTCTGTTCCTTGGAACCCCTGAGGCAGCCAGGTTTGGGGTTAGGATATGGGATCACTGAACACATTAAGTGGCAGCCTCACTTCTGTCTCTTTGTTTTTGGGGTGCCACGTTAAGTTTTTTAAAATAAAGGGCTCCATGGGATTAAAAGTATATGTTTACAAACCACTCTCTAATCCAGCAACTGCCTTCCCATTTTATAGATGGAAAAGCCCATATTGGACTCGAAAGCCCATGTTTTCCCCATAAATGATAATAATGTTCAGGCATTGTTCTAAATTTTTAAAAACTTATTTAACCCTTATAACCCTATGAGGGCACCGCGTGTTGTTTCCACTTTACAGATGAGGACACAGGAAAGCTCAGACGGTGAAGTAGTTTGCCCATAGATTAGGTTACAAGGAGCCCGGCTCCCAAGTCCACGCTCTGGGTCACTCCCAGTCTGAAGGCCACACCTTCTCTTTGTGTTCTAGAGAGGGGAAGCCACAAGCTGAGGCCCAGGGTGAGGCAGTGTTGCACCTGGGACCAGAATACAGGCCTCCTGCCTTCCAGACCTAGCCCTGATTACCTCCTCCTGTCCAGCCCACCACCTGGGCTGGAGGGGGAGATGGGGAGACCTGTGTGAATCTTGGCTCTGTTCTTCACTGGCTGTGTGACCTTGGACAAAGGAACAGACCTCTCTGAGCCTGCTCCCTCGCCTTAGAAAAGGGATAATAGGGCCCACGTCACAGAGTTAGGAATGTTAAGCAGAATCGTCCACGTGAGTTGGTTGACACAGGGCCTGGCAAAAACTGTGAGGGCCCTGGCCACCCTCAGTTTCTGGACCCAAGGAGTCCCCTGCCTCCCTGACCTGCTTCGTCCTCCCTCTTTCCAGCCTTCACCTGCCCTGTGTAACACAAATACTAATTACAGCCATTTCTGTGAGCCGCTTCCTGGTTGAGCCTAATTACTGGGCAGCTGTCACCATCATCATCATAAATATCATTAAGCGAGACAGATTAACTTTGTCCTGAGCTTTATGTGATTAAATCAGCAAATTGTTTGGCACACTTGGTCTCTTCAGCTCGGAGCTTACCCAGCCTGGTTGTCCTGCACAGCTTACAGCAGCTGCAGGTTTCTGGTCTGTCTCGAACTTGGTGCTCAGAGATCAGAGTGGACAACTCGGCTCCTTTAACCCGGCCAGGAGGCGAGGCCTGAAGTGCTCAGGATGGAGCCGGTGGGGGCTGCCATCTTATTTGTTGTAATGGCAAAACCATGAGCTTTGGGGGCAGATACACCTGGGTTTCCATCCAGGCTTTGTTATTCACCAGATACGTGACTCTGGGCAAGTTACTAACCCTCCCTGAATCACAAATGCAATGGGGAAGAGCCAAGGCGATGATAGGTGCCAATAAGTACCAGGCCCAGCACCTGGTATGCATAAAGACCCTAAGGAGTAGGTACCATGATCATCTTCATTTAACAGATGAGAAATTCAAAGCACAGAAAGGAAGTGGAATGACTTTTCCAGGTCACATAGCTGCCCTTGGCTGCGGTCTGTTGGGATGAGATGCTAGAAGGCCATGCAGGGTGCTGCTGGGGAGCAAGGAGGAAGGGTCACAGTGAAGTCTGAGGAGGCTGCCTGGAGGAAGATGCATCTGAGCTGAAGAGTTAGCCAGGGGAAGGACAAGAAGGGAGGCCTCACAGGCAGAGGGCAGTAGACGAGCAGAGGCCTGGAAGCAGGAAGCGCACTCGTATTTCAGTGAGGTTCGAACATGGGAGGGAGAAGTGGTGAGAGAGAGGCTGGAGAGGAGCCAGGGGCCAGATCCTGGGGTGTGGGAGGAGGGAGTTGGGAGCCATGCCAAGGCTCATGCTTTCTGCCGCCAGTTCCAGGGAGCCAGTGTGTGAAGGAGAGAGACTGGATCGTATCAATTAGTTTAGGAGGTTCTGCTTGGAGCCAGGCCGGGGAGGAGGGACTAGGGCAGTGATAATTGGAGATGGGGGGTGGGGATGGCGGTCAGTGGGCTGATCAGGGAAGGCTTCCAGGGGAAGGGGCAGAGTCAGTGGCCCTGGACAGAGGGGCAGAGATGTCAGATGGAGGCTGTTAGGCGGGTGGGGCGGAGAGAGGTACGGTAGAAGCCATGCACGGGGCCGGACAATCATCGGCGTGGTGAGCGGCCTGTGTCGGGGAGTAAAGAAGGGCTGCTGGCCAGGACTGGGGCTTGGGCGTGGGATGGCCCTGGGGCTGTCGGTTGGCAACACTAGGTGAGGCTTTCAGTGCCTTCCAGGGCCCCCGAGGCAGGGGAGGCAACCGCTGGCCAGGCGGGAGAGTGTTTTCCAGCGGTCTGCACGCCTCCCTCTGGCCACACATGAAGGGGAGCCCAGCCTGGGGTTGGCCCGAACCAGACAGATTGACTCCTTGGCTGGCAGGGCTGCTGCCTTGACCTCCCAGATGTGCTCTGTGCCCTTGGCCTTCTAGTATCTCCTTGAACCTCACCTTTAGGCCCCTCTTCCCCATGACTCCTACCCACACCTCCCCCCCCCCCCCCCCCCCCCGCCACCCTGCCTTCATGCTCAGGTCTCCAGCTCCTTCTGACTCCTCGGTGGCACAAAGTGGCCTCCCGCCCCCACCCCGACCCCCAGTCAAAGGCCTCCCAATTTCGCAAATGACAGATGGGCTGCCTGCTGTCTCCAGAGGAGGTCGGTCCAGAGAGCCAGGCTCCAAGGCGGCACAAGAAGAGAGGAAGGGCGCTGAGAGGGGCAGAAGGCCCCGGGGCTGAGCCCCCCTCTGCCATGGCCTGGCACACGGCCTCCATCCTTTGGCCTCCCTCTCTGTATCTGTAAAACGGGGGTCCCGGGGTTAATTCCACACGGTGATCGGAAGACACAAACAAGGGTATGACAGGGCCTTGAAAAATAGGCAGGGCCGGCCTTGTGTTGAGGTCAAGGACTCTGTTTTCTGCTTTAGGGGGCAGCCAGCTCTTTGTTCATTTCTTAAATAAGTATTTTATTTTAGAATGGTTTTAGGGTTACAGCATTTTTGGAGAGAGAGTGCAGAGTTCCCTTACAGCCCACACCCCATTTGCCCTGTTGCTAACACCTCATACAGGGCGGGGCAAAAGCAGGTGTACAGTTGTTTGTATGGAAAGTAATAAAATAATAAATAATAATACAAGAATGAACTCTGTTTCACATACTCACAGCTGTACACTTAATTTTGCCCCACCCTGTGGTATACCGTACATTCCTCACAATTAATGAGCTGATAGTAATACATTATTACGAACTGAAGTCTGTACTTTATTCACATTTCTTCAGTTTTTACCTAGCGTCCTCTTTCTGCCCTAGGATCCCATTCAGGACACCCCATTATATTTAGGCATCATGTCTCCTTCAGCTGCTCTTGGCACGACAGTTTCTCAGGTTGGCCCGGTTTTCAATGACCTTGACAGTTTTGAGGAGGACTTGGCAGGTATTTTGTAGACCGGTCCTCAGCTGGGATCTGTCCAATGTTGTTCTCATGGTTAGAATGGGGTGATGTGTTTTTAGGAGGAAGGCCAGAGAGGTAAAGTACCATTTACATCACATCACACCACGAGTGCATGCATGCCGTTGGTAAGTCGTATCGGGCTTATCACTGTTGACGTTCCCCTTGGTTACCTGGGAAGGCAGTTATTTTGCCCTCAGTACAGCAGCTCTAGATTAATGCCAAAAGTGAGCTGAATTGGGGCCCAGATCAGAAAATATGGACAAGGGCAGAAGCAGATGGAAATTAGTAAAGGAAAATGAAGAAGAGCAGGTGCGAGGTGGGTGCTGCAGCGTGTCCGTCCGTCCGGCTCCAGTTCTCTCGGGGATGGGATGTTGTATGCGAGCAAGTTTGTGTTTCAGCTCGTTTAATCTTTGCAACAACCCCTTCTACAGATGAGGAAACTGAGGCCGGCAAGGGGAAATGGCATGGCCACCTGAGCCAGGGAACCTAGGGTTGAGCTGGGGTCTGTCTTTACTGTCTCAGTCTCCCAGGGTTGAAAAACACCTTGAAGTTGCATTCCCAGGAGCCTCAGCCAGGAGAGGCGTGTTGGTGATACAGGTTGCTTCCAGTTCACTTTATTCACCCAGCAGTGTGATGACAACAGCACATTTGATAAAATGACATGCACTAGAAATGAAAAACAGGATCAGAGAAGATACACTGGAAAATGTGGACAAGTGAAAAGCTGAACCTAAATAAATACCAGGAAAATGCCCACAGGTGAGTTTGATTTATCTGTGAGCTTCCTGACAGCTAAAGAAAACAGGGGTATGGGCTGGTTCCTAGGATTACTATTATCAGAAAGCAAAGAAGCAGTTCACTTTTTCAGGAACTTTGTGGTAAATTTAAAAAGGAGTTAATCACATGGAACTTTCACACATAAAAGACACTGAGTAATGTAATGGACAATGTAATAGTAGTAATAGATGTCACATGGTGTCATCTTCAGGTGTGATGGCCATATTTTACTATCTTGCCCCTTGGCCACAGTTGTCCTATTTGAATCTTACTTGATTGTCATGAAGCAGCTAAATTCTGTTTCTTTGTGGAAGTTGCAAGTGCCCCCTGTGAAAACCTGGGATACAAAGTAACCAGTTACCTATGTACCACCACGTTCTATGCTGGGCACCAGGGATGGAAGACAATAAGATGATTGTCGCCCACACCCTGGGGTCCTCTCCATCCCAGGGATACAGACGCCTAGATGAAGGCCTGAATGTAAAGCGCGTGTTATACCATGTACCCACCAGCAGGCCGGGCATAACTCCTTCAGACTGCGGAGGAGAGGAGGGCTTCATGGAGGAGGAGGCAGGCCAGAGATGGGTAGAAGGCTTGTAGTCTTGGGAGAGGAGACATCAGATGCAGGCCCTTTGAGGGTGAGGACCAAGCCCTGTGTAGGGCTACCCCCTCAGCTGGCCACGCAGGACCCGGCGAGCACTGAGGGCTTCCCGAACTCCTGCTGAGCACTCAGCGCCTACAGAGCTAGGTGTGGGGTCAGGGCGACGGCCACACCTGAGGGGTATGTGGACGGTGAGCCTAGAGAGGTAGGCCTAGGCCAGATGCGGAAGGCCTTGAAGGCCAAGATGAGGAGTTTGGATTTTCATTTTTAGGAGGTGGGGCTCAATTGAAAGTTTTTGAAGCTGTGTTGAATAAAAAACAATTATACAAATGATAACTGCTAACATTTAATGGTCACTTGCTGTGTGCCCAGTACTGTTCTAAGCACTTTATCTATAATAACTCATTTAGGTATCACAGCCGTCCTGTGAAGGAGGTACTGTTATCATCCCTCTTTTACAGATGAGACAACCAAGGCACAGAGAGGCTGAGTCATTTGCCCAAGGTCACACAGCTGGGAGGGGGCGGAGTGGGGCTCTGAACTGCAGCTCGGATCTAGAGCTTTTACGTACAACATTACTGTGTCTGCTAAATGCAAGTCTTAAACTAACATATAACATGAGTGTGTATTTGATGACATATAAGGATTTAACAAATCTCAGCTAATTACTGGCACTAGAGAGGCAGGAATTGACAGGGCCCTTGGCCACAAAGGGCGGTATCCCTAAGCAGCTGAGGCTTAGAAATCCACCACGAAAACAGATCAGAGGGTGTGGCCACGGAGTCGCAGGCCTGTGAGTTTCACTCAGGAGCTGCTCTTTCCTGCCTCTGACATGCTCCGCTCCAGAATTCTTTGAAGATCCCCTGCCTGGGGCAGACCGACCACCAGAGCCGTCAGGCCTTCGTCTACAGAGCTACGTGAGCATTTACATTTCTCATTTCTGTTCACCCCAGGCCTTTGATTTCCACAGGGTGGGGTCTCCAGAGCTGGCACCGCCACACCCTCACCTGGCTTTCATCGCCTCCTCTGCGCAGCTGGGGAGCGAGCTGTGGTCTTGGTCTCCACCGAGCCCTTCTCGGAACAGCGGCCTCCTCCTCGGCCCTGTGGGGCGGGGCGGGACAGGAACGAGCAGATCCAGGCACTGGCTCTCCACAGAGCAGAGGCTGTTCCCCTTTCCCTGGAGCTCGCGGCCAGGTGTGGCACCCACAGCCACAAATGAGGCAATTAGGGAGATGGGGCGCTGGCCGCCCAGCCAGCTTAGTGCCCCCAGACTCCATGAGGTCCCCACCTGAAGACGCCGCTCCCTCTTGCCCAGTGAGCACGGGACCAGGAGTCAGGACCCAGGTTCTAGGCCCAGCTCTGCCATTTACCAGCTGTAAGGCCCATCATGAGATCAGTATGCTGTTTAGCCAGGTGATTCTGGTGGGGGGGGATGAAGGGGACAAGTCCTGCCTCCTCCCTAATCCTTAGTCTCTGATCTGTAAAGTGGAGGTGCATGGGGGTGGGTGGGGCAGGGGAAAGTGGTGGCAGGAAAAGAGACAAATGTATTTGAACAATAAAAACAATTATTTTTTAATTTTTAAAAATTTAAAAAAATAAAGTGGAGGTGCTGATTCCCCCTTCGCAAGGTGCCATGGGGACAGGAGAGAGTTTTGTCAAGGAGCACAAAATAGATGTTGGGTCTCCCCCTCCACCCCCCTCCACTTCTCGTCAAATGGAAGTGATAGCTTCTGAGGCTGAGACTCCAAATGGGCGTGGGGATCCCAGACTGTGAATGGAGAAGGTCCCGCCCCGGCTCTGGGGCTCTGGGCGGGTAGAAAGATAGGGCTGCCATTGTTGTTGGAATGTCACTCACCTACTGGGGCCTGTGGATCTCCCACTGAGCAGTGCCAGCCGAGCCATTCCCACGCCTGGGGTGGGTTCAGTTTCACCTCAGGGCCCCAGGCAGGTGTTTCAGGATGGGCCCCTCATCTTTTGTGTGGTGAAAAACAAACAGCTCTCCTTCTCTGCGGATTTCTGCTTGGGAGGTAGGTGAGCTCTCCTCCTCATGGGTCTGTAGACCAGCTGCCGGAGATGGAGGGCAGGGGCGGCCTAGCCTTGGCCCCAGGGTAGAGCTTTCAGCTTAACAAGATCCAATTCCTGCCTTCAAGGTTCTCCCATCCGGTCTGAAGTGCTGGGTGCTTTCATGAAGGAAGCATGGGGTAGGGGGCCGTGCAAGGGGACACAGCAGGGGACCACACACTGCTGCCTGGGGTCAGGGGAGGGTGGTCGGGAGAGCTTCCCAGAGGGAGTGACCTCTGAAATGAGGTGGAGGAGGAGGAGCCGTTGCTTCACTGCACCTGGGCAAGTTACTTCCCTGAGCCCCGGTTTCAGAGGGAAGGGCGAGAGGCTTAAATGAGACAGTGGTGTTAAGAGAGCTGACAAGCACCTCACAGCCTGAGGAGTCCAGGCAGTACAGTACCCGATGTGCCAGGATGGGGAGAGGCTTGGTGAACTGAGCTTCTTTTTCAAAAGTCTTTTCCTTGGGTGGTTGACACCTGTTACTTAATGTAACCAAGTGTCCTAGGTTCAGAAAAAGCTCAGCGGTAACCCAGCATAAAGCAAAGAAGCCTGGCAGCCCCTTCCCTCTCAGGTGGGTAATGGGAACGCCTTCACCCAGTGGGGGTGAGGCTGAAGACTCCAGAATTAAAACTCTTGCCCTAGTCCTCTGCCTCCCGCAGGTCCTGCGCCCCTTACATGAGTTTCCTTTGTCCCCACGCATCGCAAAGTAGATGCACAAGGACTTAAAGGCACTGCCCCAGAGTGCTTGTCACTTCCCTTCCACTTCTTCCACCACTCACGTAACTGTCTGCTGAGCACCCACAGCAGGCCAGGTGTGGGAATTCTCTGGGCCAGATAGGCCCCAGTCCTCGTAAAGCTCACTGTTCTGGGGTGGGGGAGGGAGATAAATGTAAAAACCAAGTGAGGGCCACACTGTTCGGGTCCAGGAAAGTGTGGTGGGGAGCAGACGAGGTGAGGATCCGGGTGGGCAGGGGCCAAGGGGGACTGGGAAAGGGACTGTCCCTGGAGAGTTGTAAGCAAGGCAGTGACAGGATTAGAATTCCCTTTTGAAAGACTCACTCTAGCTGCTGAGAGGACTTTAAGAGGGCGGGAGTGGAAGTCAGAAGCTGTCTGTCCCTGTGCCTGTGACCCTGCAAAGCCACCTCTCCTCCCTGAGCCTGTAGCTTCACACGTATGTGTGTTGTGAGAATCAAACACAGAAATGAACGGAAGTACTTTTAGAAAGCGGGGGGAAAAGTGTATAAATGTAGAGGATTCCAGGTCTCACTAGCAGTGGCGGGTCCTTTGGGAAACTGTTGAGTTAGGGTCTTGGGTGCAGGGGAGAATGCAGGGTGTCCAGAGTCTACCTGAGCACCCCACATCTGAGAGAGCCCGCTTCTCCAGCCTAGGTCACAGGGCCCCTGAGAGACCTCCGGGCCTGGGGAGGGAACCCCTGCTTGAGGCTCTTGACCCCTGAAAGGGAAGGGTAACCCTCCCGGTCCTAGACTAGGCCTGAAGCTGAAGCCAGGATTCTTACTGTTTGGGGGGAGCCACTCCTTTGAGTTGGGAGGCAAGCATTGGATTCCCCTCCAGGCACCCAAGCGTATACACACCATTTTTTCATTCTAGGTCAGGGGAGCGCTCTGGAATTTTCTGAAATCGTTCATGAACTCTGACTTCAAGACCCCTGAGCTAGAGGAAGGGGGACATGAGAGGGGAGATAGCTGCCTTTTTTTATTCTACCTCCTTCCTCCTCATCTTTGCAGTTCAGATGGGGGAGACCACCCCTTCTGCACCTAAAGGCCAATGGTGGGAGGACTCAACTGTTGTGGGCCAAACCAGGGGCACCTTCCTAACACTTGATGTTTGGTATCTGCCACTGGGGATTATTGAAGGGGACTTAAGTTTTTTTAGGAGGAGAGGTTGCTGCGGGGCCCCTTCCTGCCTGCTAGGGCTGGTTGTGCCCTAACCTCTGGGAAAGACACTTTACCCGGGGACAGGGGACCGGAACGCTTGAGGCTTGAGGGTCTCCTGGTCGAGCCAGGGAAGGAACCAGAGCTGTGTGCGGATCAGGCGCCGCCTGCGAAGGTGGCGCTATGCCGCCGGGTCGCAGCCTGGCCGTCCCAGACCAGTCAGGTGCGCGGCGGTGGCAGCAACGGTGGGGACCCGGCGTCAAGAGGCGCACGCCGAGCGTGTGGCCACTGCACCCAGGGGCCCGCAGCGTGGTCGGCACTGGGGCTGAGGGCGGTGTTGCCCAAGCGCAGAGGGGGGAGGAGGCGGGTCCCTGTCCCCCGCCTTGGACTCGTAGGTGGGCAGGTGTCAGTGTCCGGGCTGGGGCGGGGCACGCAGGCTGTGGCCGCGTAGTGGCGGGGGGGGGGGGGGGGGGGGCGGGAGGGGTAGTGGGTGGCGGTGGTAGGGGTAGTGGAGGCAGCGGCAGCGGCACCCGGGCCGCTTCCCCATTTTCCCCATTCGGGCGTGAGAGCCATGGAGGCGCTGAGGGAGTCCGTGCTGCACTTGGCCTTGCAGATGTCGACCTACAAGCGGGCCACGCTGGATGAAGAGGACTTGGTGGACTCGCTCTCCGAGGGCGACGGGTACCCGAACGGCCTTCAGGTAGGAGCCCTGGTCCTCTGTGCGAGCCCCGTGGGGGAGCGAGGCGGGGTGCGGCAGGGGCGGGAGCGGGGTGGCGGGGTGCGGGCATGCGCGCTGGGGCTGTCTCCGCCCCCATCCTTCCAGCTGGCTGAGGGGGCTGTGGAGCCTGAAGCTATGCGGAGCGCTGGGCTCATGGGGTAGAACCCTTTCTGGGACAAAAGTGCCCTTGGGGCTCTGAGCTTCCCCAGCAGCCGTCCCTCACCAGCTCTGCCCGTCCCCACATCTTCCCATCCACCTAGTCACGGGGCTGCAACCCCCGCCCCGTGGCAGAGCGAAGCACACACCCTTCCTGCCCCTCCGGAGCTGAACGGGTCCAATTCCCTTTTCACAGAAGAGGCAGTTCCTCAGCACCAAGGGTCTTGCCGTGGGTCACGCAGCCCATTTCTCAATTGGCAGAGTCTCAAACTGTCTCAGCATAAAAGCCCCGCATCCCTGTGCACACTGCACACTTAGTCACCCTGTCTGGTGGGCATTACCCTCTTGTTACTCTTTCCAACTAAATTCCTGAATTTCTGGGGGCGGGGGTGGGGAGCCATCCTTAGCCCCCTTTCCCGTCCACTTTTCAGCCCAGTTCCTCCCTTCCCCGGCTCTGCCCCTGTGAGAATCCAGTAAGCCCACCGCCTCCCTGCCTCTCAGCACTGCGCCAGCTTTCTCTCCTTCCCTCCCGTGCGGGGCTGAGTGGGACAGTCCCGGTCAGGACCTCCACCCTAATGGAGTTTTTACCCAGGCAGGTAGCTGGCAGCGAACTGGAAATGGCAAAGGGTCTCTGTGGTCTGGCTCCTGAGAAACCAGTGAGAGTGAGGGGTCAGGCCAACTCAGCTCAGGGGAACTTCTGCCCCCGGGGACCAAGGGAGACATTGGGGGTGCCTGGGGGCCTCCCAGTGAACTGACAGCACACCGCAGCCCGTCTGGAGGGCACCCCTAGGGCATCTGGAAACTCAGGCTGCCAGGCCCAACCCTGCTCAGGCACACCTCTTTGGAGCTCGTGTGAAAATACTAACAAAGGGAAATGGCATTGATTGAGTCCTTCTTCTGGGCTAACTAGGTCCAGGAGATCCAAACTCATGATCCCAAGCGGAATGCCGCGCCCCTACTACGGTAGCCTGCCTACTCTTCAGGACCACCCCACGAGCTGCAGGGGTCACTGGTCCCATTACAGGTGAGGGAATGAGACTCTGAAAGGGAAGACCACTCACCTGAGGTCACAGAGCGAGAAACTGAGCAGTGAGAAACCAAGCCCAGTCCGCCTAGAACCTCCTCCCTGCGCACACTTCATAAAAGGCTAAATCCGGCAGGAAATGAGATTTCTGTGGCAGGCACTTCTCCTTTCCCAAATCAAAACAGAGTCTAATCAGCAATCTTTTGAGTCTCATCTTCCACAGCAGGTTCTAAATATATCAGCACAAAAGCATTTGGAATTCACAACAAAATACTGTGCCATGGTGTCACCATCATACCAGCAGCCCAGGCGGGTGTAGCCTTTTTCAGGTCACACAGTACACGCACCCTTCCGAGGCTGCCTGACGGGCCGAAGGTCGCTCAGTCCCTGAGCCCGTGGGCCCCGGCTTTGAATTCTGATTCCACTCAAGATCTTGGGTGAGCTGCTTAATCCCATTAAACCACAATTCCCTCATTTTTAAACATTTTTTTTAAATTTGTTTTTTATCCTCACCCGAGGACATGCTTATTGATTTTAGAGAGAGGGGAAGGAAGGGAAAGAAACATCAATGCCTCTCATAAGTGCTCCAACCCTGCAACCTAGATATGTGCCCCAACTGGGAATCAAACTGGCGGCCTTTCAGTTTACAAGATGACACCCATCCAACGAGGCCACGCCGGCCAGGGCTGTCGTTCCCTCGGATGTAAAATGGGAGTTAGAGAAAGTGGCTGTAGTGCGTAGTACGGGGCCTGGTGTGGTCGTCTGTGACCGATGAGCTAAGGCCCCCGGTAGCCATGTTACAGAGGGTAATGCTGAGCCTCAGAGAGAGAGATCAGGAGGCTCCCTGTAGACAAACAGCCATCGTGTGGGTTGGGGTGCAGCGTTGGTGCCCCGCATCAAGCTGGATACATTGCCCACTTTTTACACAGGAAAAGCCAAAAGGTTGCTCCAAGGATTTGGGACATCAGTGCTTGCTCTCCTCAGAGTCCGGAACCCATCCACATCCACTTATGAAGCAGAGTTTTCTGTTAATTTTGTTTTTAATCATTGGGGTTTTTTTTTTTTCCTCCAAGGTATACACATGCTCAGCTGTGGGAAAAAGAGTCTAGTATAAAAAAAGATTAAAAAAAAAAAAAACAGTAATCCCACAGCTCGCAGACAACCACTTCCAGTTTTTCACATTTGCATGTATATATTTTAAACACAGTTGAGCTGCTGACTCTAAGGCCACAATGTTGCACCCTGCTTTTCTTACTTAATGCCACCTCATAAGTATTTTTCTATGTTGTTAAAAACCTCCAAAACATGCTGCCATTAAAAACCATAATACCTCAGGGCACCAATATATAAAAATATATTTAGTCAATCTGCTGTATTTGGACAATAGGCCCAATAACCAGAACTCTACAGCTGACCATCTTTTAGCCTTTTGGATAATTTCCTATGAGTTGGTTGCTAGAAACACAATGGCTCCCTCAATTTTAGGCTCTTTAAAATGGACCCAGGCTTCCCAACTCTCCCTCTCTTGATGGGCAGCTATAAAAATAAGCTACTTGATTTTTCAGGATTTTGAAGCCTGTTGGTTCTAGGAACTCCAGAGTTATTGATACTGATATTAGAAAATGAAAACTTTTGTCTTTCAGCCAAACTTGCCCCCTTTATTACTGAATATGCAAACAAAGTGGTGAATTTAGCTGGAGCCGAGTCACGCCTGTACCTCACCTGAAAGGGTCTTTCTTTTCCTTTATCTCACATTTCAGGCACAAGTTCATTGCGATTCACCAAAATGAGTCAGTACGGTCAGAATGCAGAATTTAAAGCCAGATAGCTCTAGCACGGAACCCCAGCTTTGCCTCTCATGGGCCCTGAGACCGGACAGCAACTCACTGAGACAGTTTTTCTCCAGTGCCCAATAGTCGTAACCCCCCTCTCAGAGCTGTGGCAAGATTGCAATGAGACCGTGTAAGTGAAAGCCTTTTGTGGAGTGCACAGAGGATAGGTTTGGTTGTTATCAGGATCATCATCGAAACTTAACCAGGCAGGATACCTCAGTGATGCCCCAGATATGACCACTTCTCTCCCGGAAGCCTGCGCCCTGCTCTGACTGGCTGCCCGGTCTCTCCACAGCCCCACGCACACCGCACACCCTGCACGTGCCGTTTCAGTGGCTTGACAGGGAGACGCTCGTGTTACACCCGCAGCCTCAGCTGCGGGGCAGATAGCCATGACTGTTTACCTAAACCTTAGAAACTCATCCAGTTACTTCTACAAATCCATTTTTTCAAGAAAAACAAAAGCTTTTTTATATTTGTATTTTATATTTAATTCTTAGTGGTGCGTTCTCTGCCCCTCAGTCTTTCTTGCCATGTACAGAGCTATCTTTCCAGGGTGATTTCAGGGACAGTCCCGCCCAACGCATTGAGAAGACCTCTCTGCTTACCAGGAGGACCTTTCGGCTCCATCCACCTGTTAGAGATGCTCTTGGCCTTGGAGTTGTTCTAGAATCTGAGATTGTCAGAGTTGGGACCTCATCCAGTTTCCTCGTTTTCAAGATAGGAGACTAAGGCTTGGAGGCTGCCCAGTGACACATGGGGTCTTGATAAAGTCGAGGGCTGACTTCTCAGGTTCGTGCCCTTTCTCTTGTGCCATTGCTCGCTAGGCGTTCCTTCTGGGAAGCAAAGTAAACTGGAAAGTGTTTCTTTCGAATACTAGACTTTGATTCCTGTTAAGATGCAAGTTCTTAAAGGAACTCCTTTAAGCTGTTGTTCGGCATGGGAGCACGGGGACAGGTAGGGCTCAGAGAAGAGATGGGGAGGACCAGAGGACTTACACTTTTGCTCTGCACTGGCTCCAGTGGCCTTAGCCAGAGTCCTCCATCTGGAAACTTCTAGAAGAAATCTCCCCAACCTTACAGCCTCATGGAGGCAGATCACCACCCAGGACCAAGCTGTCACGGTCTGTCTGCTCTAAGGAGCTGACTCTGAGGCAGGCATCCTGGTCACCCGGCCAGTCCTCATGGGGTGGCCAGGCTCTTGAGCTGTAGGGGGTGGGCTCCTTGCCAAACCCTTGGCCAGACTGACCCCTGTTTGCTGCTCCGTGAAGCCCAGCTCGCTGGAGGGCCTGGCAGTCGTTCAGCCACTGCCTTCCCTCGTGCCCCTCCTGCTTTGTCTGAAAACCAGGCTTTGCCCGCCTCCCCAGCCCCTCTGCTGCTGGCTTGTCGCCTGGGCTCCAGGCAGCGGTGGCCCTTCCTCGCCTGCGGAGCTGCCCGCAGAACTCGTTCTTGCTGTAAGCCTAGGTGAGCCAAGCACTCACTTCTGTAACCGAATATTCATCCCTCATTAGGGCTTTGTTCCCTTCCAGTGGAAACCCTGGGAACTCTCAGGCTGCACAGCTCAACTGCTGCTTGCTCTCCTGTTTCCCTGGCTCTGTCTACCCGTCTCCTTCTGTCTCCCTCCCCACCTCTCTTTTTCGAGGACATCCTTTTCTTTCTGTCTTGTTCTTTACCTCACACAACAATAAATGGGATACGAAGCCCACCAGAGAGCTGAGCATTTACAGTAATTCTCAACCCCATCTTCTAAGTGTCAACGCTGCTCCTTGGCGAAGGGAGGGTCACGCCCAAGGTGAGGTGGGCTGGCCGCCACTGATCCTGGAGATCTACATGCCCTCCTTTCCAAAAGGAACGTGAGAAACCATTTGCATCCTCCCCTTGCTGTGATCTGCCTTGCTGGATGCTCTGAAGGAGGCGAGGCAGGGCAGGGTGATGGCAGCTTAGCGAGGAGAAGGGACTCGCTGGCAGCTTGGACTTATAGCTCCATCCCCGTCCAGTGCAGCCAGGAATCAGACAGCCTCCCCTGGAGAGGTCTCTGATGGGCACAGTGCCTCCAGGTGGCTTCTGCCCAGGGGGTGGCCTCTGGAGTACCTCCACCCTCAGAGATGGGTTTGGGCCTTGTCTGGAAACCAAGAGACCCTCAGGGCAGTACGAGTCAAGTGAAGACTGTTAAAAACATTAAAAACCCTATTTTCAAATTCTGTTTGCCATTTCCGCCTGGAACTGAATTTCTAATTTCATTCTAACGTAATTCTAATTAAATTTTACGGAGAACACCATCTGTTTGCTTGCCATCAAACAATGAGGCTCAGCTCGACTTTGCTTCTTGGGGGCAGCACGGCCACTGGGCTGAGGCTTTGGTTCTGGAGAGAGATGGCTTTTCTCACTGTTCTCTCTCCTTCTCCGCCCCTGCCACTTCCTGTGTTTCTTCTGGACCTGATACCATTACCTACTCTTAGGGATGTTGTAAAGATAGACTAGCCCCACCCAGGCACGCAGAAAGCACTCAAGTATTAGCTGCCATTATTACTCTTTTTTTCCGTTCCTCCTACCCTCCATCATCTCCCTTCCTTTCATTTCTTTCTTTTCTTTTTTCACCTCCTCTAATTCCCCACCTGTACCTGTACAGTGTTGCTCTGTCCACATAAAGGGAGGTTTTCCTGCCCCCTACACCACCCGCGCCCGCAGCCTGCAGGCTGTGCTCCCAGGCTCCCTAAAGCCAGCCCTAGACAGAGAGCTCCCTGCCTCTTTGTCTTCCACTGCGTCCTGCAGGAGCTAAGCCATGATCAGAGGCACTGAGAGGCCTAGAGCAGGAGGCAGGACAGAACACAAGCCCAGGGGCAAGACAGCAGGAAGGCTGGGAGTAAGTGTCAGCGCCTGCTTCCTATCCTTTGGGAATCCTATCCGAATACAAGGTAAACTGCGTGAGGACACTGATGCCTTGAAAGCGGCACTTAATAGACCTTCCGGTGCTGGGAACGTGTTAGCATCTCCCCAGCTCCGTCACTGCACCAGTCCCTCCAAGCCCAAAGTGTTACCTTGATGGCAATAGCATGGGCAGAATCTGTTTCTCATATTTTTAAAAAAAGGTCCTTAAAGGGATGTTAGAAAGTGGCACCTCTCCCCGACCTGGCCTTGCCTGATACAGCTGCTTCAGTTTCTGAGCCTCCTGGGCTTCCTTGGAAAGTATGACTGGGCCCCAAGTTCCCTTTCTCGATTTTAGAACCCAGTTTTCTTTCCATAAGAATTTCTCGTGTTCTCCTTTCTCTGGTACAGCAATTCCATGTCATTTCCTGGACAGGAAACACCCAACGATGACCACTAGGCCACTTAGTGCCCTTCTTTCCCCAAGGTGACCAGCCTTAGATCCCCAAGTGCCAGTATGAGGCCCTTTGGTGACTTGGCTCCTGGGGCAGCCACCCCTTTGGCTGTTGGTGGGGCACTTGCAGGCCAGAGTGTGGGTCTCCTCACCTCCCCTGGCAGCTCCTTTCCTTCCCCACCTCCTTCCATTCCCCATTCACCTGGGTGGCTCCTACTTAATTTTCAAGACTCAGCCCAGCTGTCTGCCACCTCCAGGAAGCATTCCTTGACTGAACCCTTGCCCACCCCAGACTGTGTCTTTATCCGACTCTCTGCTGGGCTGCGAGCCCCTGAAAATGAGGGAGCCTGTCTTCCACCCCATATTTCCAACATAGCCCACGAGTTGGTGCTCCGCTATTGGCACACAGCCATAAAGTCACTGAACATAGCCCCGCCTTCAGGGGACCCCTCCTGTACTGTGGTCCCGGCTTTGCCAGATGTACCTCTTGGAATGGAGGGTAGCCCCAAGCTGGCCCAGGCTGAGGGCTCTGAGTGCTGTTGGCTGGCATGTCTTTCAGCCCCAAGGACCCTACCACGCCCTCCACTTCCTCTCATTGTGCCTCCCTTCCTGTTTGGTTAGCCTGTGAGGCTGGGGCCATTTTTCCTCCCTTTGAGGACCTGCCTGCATGGAGCTGTTTCTCCATTGCATGTCCCCTGACATCTTTCAAGACTCAAATCTCTGACCCACTGGTGGCTCCAGAATCAACAGACATGGGGTCCGTTCCCAGCTCTGCCCATTCAGCGGTGTGATGGGAGGCAGGGTCTTCCCTCTCTGAACTTTCTTGTCCTCCTTTGTAAAAAGAGAACCAATAGTAGCCCTCATGGGGTTGTGGGCGTTCAATGAGCTGATGTCCACATCCACGCTTTTGGGAAATGTGAGCTGTCGTGGTGCCACCCCGTGATGTATTGTCCCAGCCTATTGATGCAGGGGCTTTCAGGAGAGCCCAGCCGGTCACTCACTGGACGCCTGCAAGCCCAAACATCCTGTTCTTTTTTTTTTTTTTTTTTTTTTTGAACTCCTTACTGGAAAAACAGGGAAAAGCTGTTTTGTTTTGTTTTTTTTCCTTCTACCCATATCGGGTGACACCAAAAAAAATACAAGCCCAGCTGGGTTTAGCTACTTGACTCTCTGAAGTTTAGGAGCAAATCCGAGCTGCTGAGCAGGGTGGCGGTTCCTTTCCTGGATTAGGACCCAGTCCGTGGGAACCAGACCGCCCCTGAAGCAGGAGGGCCGCCCTGATGTCCCCCCGGGGCCTGGGCCTGCCACAGAGCCCCTTCCTCCCAGGGAAGGGGGGCCCGGGACTCATGTCCTCCCCACCCCTCCTGCCCACTTCCCTGCAGGTGAACTTCCACAGCCCCCGGAGTGGCCAGAGATGCTGGGCCGCGCTGACCCAGGTGGAGAAGCGGCTGGTGCTGCTGGTGGCACTTCTGGCAGCAGGACTGGTGGCCTGTGTGGCAATGCTGGGCGTCCAGTACCAGACAAGTAGGTGCCTCTGTGTTTCACTGTGGGCTTGACTCAGCTCTGTCCACTTGTGCTGGGGGGCTTCCCAGCTCAAGCTGGGCTGGCCTCCAGGTCACGGAGAGAGCTTAGCCTGGCAGGCTCGGGCTGTGGGGAGAGCCCGAGGCCTGGCAGGTGGGCGCTATGGGTGGTGTGAAGGTTTTGGAGTCAGGAGGGCACGAGTCTACATCCTGGCCCAGCAACTTATCATCGGTATGACCTTGGATAAGTCACTTACTCTCCCAGAGCCTGTGTCTTCTCCACTTGAAAGGCAGAAATGATGTCCAGTTTGGGGTTGGCTCTGAGGACTGGAGGTAATGCACACCATTTACCTGGTGCCTACCAGGACTTCTTTAGCCTTAGCTGTGGATGCTCCTGTTAGGATGTGTGGGCTGGTGAGGCGTGCAGGCTGGCACTGGCGGCATCCTTAGTTCCAATAAAACAGCCATAATGGCTTCCACTTACTTAACATTTTACGTGGACCAAATACCACACCTCTTCTTCACAAATGTAATCTCATTTCCCCCTTTACAGCAACCCTATGAAGTGTGGTTACTTTTGGCCCCGTTTTACATATCAGGAAACTGGGGTAGCAAGACTGAGTGACTTGCCCGAGGTTATTGCAGGAGAGATTGGGGACGCAGAAACTCAGCCACAGGCCACTGGGCCCCAGAGCCTGGCTCTGCCACCCTTTGTAATCGCGGTGCACCCCAGTGTGTGTTAGGCCTCCCAGAAAAGCGGTCCTCCTGTGGCCCAGCTCGCCGTTGTGCGCCTCTGTAATCACATCTCCTACCTCGCGCAGCAATGCGATCGGGCTGCCCCGATCCTGCTGTTGGGGGACCGAGGCGGGTTCTCTGTGTCTGGCCAAGCGCCTCACACAGATCTGCCATCCAGTAGGCATGATGGAACTGGAAAGGGCGGGTCCAAGGGAAAAAGGAAGGCAGGAGTCCGGCTGATTCCAGGGTCTTTCACTCCCCCGTGCCCAAGCACCTCACTTTCTGATGGCAGATTGTCCGCCCGGGTGAACAGCCTCTGAGGGTCCAACCCTGCAGACTTGGCCACCTGGTTACTCATCCCATCAGAGAGTGTGAACTTGTGCAGGATCTGGGAACATCTACCTCAGGCTTCACTGAGCCCCCTCCACTGTGAAGTTGCTGACCTGCCTGGGTGGCCGTGCTGGACTGGGATGGGGAAGTTTGCAGCCTGGAGCAGGGGCAGAGCTTCCTCTCTGTCATCCTTACATCCCTCCGTATCATGCATCCGTTCATTTGTTCATTCATTCTGCAGACTTTGAATGGGTGCTTACTCTGTATCAGGTACCTCCATGGCTGGTAGGTCCTTTACCAACGAGTCCTGGCTCAGCAGGTGCTCTATGCACATTTGATTGATTGATTGATTGATTGATTTAGTAATGATTTCCAGGCTCTTGACCATATGTACTTAGCATGATGCCTGAATGCCAAAGGTGTGCAAATAGTTTGCGAATTGAATAAATAAATGATTGAATGGACAAAGGAACAGGAAGGAGGACAAAGCTGGGAACAGCCTTTCTCTACTGCTCACTCTTGTCCTGTAGTTGCCATCTTGCCTATGAGGCAAGGTTTAGCCTAAATCAGCTTCCGTTCAGAACATCCTGCCGGGCTATGTGGACCCTGCCCAGCCTCATCTGCCCAGTTCCCGGCCCTGTGCCTGGGAACAAGGGGACACTCCAGCAGCCAGTGTCACCCTGCGACTGCCCCAGGAGTTTCCAAGATATTTCTCTGCCAGAAACCAGAAGGGACCCCCAAGGGGAGGCTCCTAGCAGTCGGGCCACAGAGGGGCCCACGGGGCAGAATCCTGCTTCTGCCTCTATCCCAGCCTTCTCAGGGACATAAAAAGGTTTTCCCAGCCTGGACCTGGGTGAAGGGAACTCTGGGTGGAGCTGGGCCGGGATTAGGTGACCTCTGAGCCCACCCCTGTGTCTGCATTAGCTGCCTGGGCCAGGGAAAGCAGAGGCCACCCCAGATATTGACAGTAACCTCATTACCCAGCAGCAGGTGCTGGCACTGGTCACATCTAAGCAAACATAAGCCCAGACAAGCCAAATTCTCTGTGGATCCTGCAAGACTCACCTCTAAGTTATGTCTGGGAGCTTAAACACATATTTATCCACCTTCCTGCTGCACCCTCCTTTCTACAAACTTGCAGGTGCTTTGCAAACAGCAGCAGCAAAACAAACAATAACTTTTCCCAGAAAATATTCTGAAATGTCTTACTCACTGTTGAGGCCAGGTCCTGTCCAGACAAGTGTCTGTGACCTAGATCTGGGACCTGCTCCTGCTTTCTCGAGTGACCATGCATGCTCTAAAAGGAAGAAACATTTTCTGCCTCCACAGGGGGTGACCAAGTGCTGGACAAAGCTCTTTCACCCATTCATTCATTCATTCATTCATTCATTCATTCATTCAACAAACGTGCTAGATAGCTACTAGGTGCCAAGTACAATGCTAGGCAAAGGAAATAGAAAATCAAATATAATGCTGGCCCTATCCTCAAGCTCACACTCTGCTGGGGTGGTAGACAGGGAGACAGCCAAGACACAGCTTAGTCTATGCCAGGCGGCCAAGGGGCCCAGAGAGGGTGAGGGTGAGAGAAGGTTTCCCCAAGGAGATGGAGCCTGAGTATCGACCTTGACACTAAGTGACGGGGGGCTGGAAACAATCGTGTAATCAAATATGCACTTAGCACCTGTTGGGCCAAGAATAGTTGGTAAAGGATCTGCAAACCATCAAACAGTTAAATAATCAAAGATTATTGCTTAAGCATCACCTAGGGACCTTGCTTTGTGCACAGCTGAGTGTGCGCTTGGTGAAGAATTCAGACTAATTCTCAATCTCTCTCTCTCTCTCTCTCTCTCTCTCTCTCTCTCTCTCTCTCACACACACACACACACACACACACACACACACACACAGAGATTCTGGTGTATTTCCCTCTCTGAGGATCACCCTCTTAACACTCTGTCTTTTGGGTATTTCCAGCAGCCAATATTTTGTCAGGCTTTACTTCCCGTAGGTTGTTATACAAAAACAATAGGTATTCTTTTCCTTTTCCTAATATGGAGTTATATCATAATAGTGAATAGGCTTTTTCAAACTACACAGAAGTTCTTCCCCACCCCCACCTCCTGTAAAGATTCTGGCATTTCCCCTTGTGGGGAGTGGGGCGCACAGCTCTGCTTAAGACACTCTCCTCTAGATACCGAAAATGGTGCGCATTCCCTACCGTGTCCTGTCTCTATTTTCATCCCTAATGGCTCAGTGATTTTTAATTGTATAGCCATCTCAAAACAAGTAATTACATCAAAATAAAGTCCTCCTGTTTTTTGTGCTGTTGTGCAGCTCCTCTGAGCCCTGGCTCAACCTGCAAGACGTGGCATTTGTCATCAGGTGTTAATAACCTGCAGGCCACCCAGCCCCGGCTGGCATCTTTTTCCGAGTGAGGTGAACACTGCCCCCGCCAGCCAGTGCATTCTTTTCTGCTCTCTAAAGATGGACCTGGCAGCCTTGGACCCTAAGACCTGGGGGAACTGAGTCCCCAAGCCCAGCCATCAGGTCATTTCATCATCACTGTGAAGTTGGCCCTGCTGTCGTTCCTCATTTCTAGATGGTGAAACTGAGGCTCAGAGAGATGAGGTCACTTGGGCGAGGCCCACAGCCAGAAGGAGAAAGCTGGCATTTGACCCCAGGTCTGAGAGCTCACAATGCCTGCCCTGTCTCACTCCTTCCTATATCGGGGGGAGACCAAACTCAGCAGAAGGGCCACAGCAGCCCCTGGTGTGACCGGCAAAGAGGCAGTGAGGGAAAGCAGAGAACCCCGGCCGGCTGTGGAGTCCCCGCAGCAGGACAGAGCTGGGTTTGGAATCAGCTCTGCCACGCAGCTGGTGGCCTTGTTCCCTCGCTCGCTCGGAGCCTCAGTCGCCTTATCTTCAAACGGGGCATCATGACTGTATCTGAGGCTTGTACTGAAGCCTAAATGAGCTCATGAATGTTCATGAAGTACCTGAAGTACATGAAGCCTAAATGAGATCACAAATGTGCATGGACTACCAGGGCTGTGTTCAGTAAACAGTCCCTCTTGTCGCCAGCACAGCTGTGTCAACAGACGGTTCCATTGGGCCTGTTCTTAGTCACTGGCCTGCATCTCCGGCCTCTCTCCTGCGGAGTCAGGTTCATCTTGCTGCCGTGAGCTGGGCCATGGCTGGGGCCGCCCACACCTGGGTGCCTTGCGAGAGCCCTCCGATCAACCTGGAGGCAGAGGTCCCTCCCCAGCCTCTGGCTTCTTGCCGCCAGACAGCCCTCACTCCTCTGCCCACGTTTGTGAGAATCAGCTCAGAGGAAGCTAATTTCTCTGCCTGTTGCATTTGGGGGGCACTTGTAGGATTTGCAGCCCTGCCCACTGCCCACCTGCACCCAGTACTGTCCCCCTTTAGCCCGTGCCTGACAGGCGGGGCCGCCCTGCCTCCTGGCAGTGTGTGTGTTGGGGTGGGGGCAGCCCTCACCAGGAGAGCTCCCTTCCAGGCCCAAAGCAGACAGGGCTGACAGGCGGTGGGGTCCAGATCCCACTGAACCCTGAGCAGGGTGCTCAGCTTCTCTGTGCCTCGGTGTCCCCTATATAAAAATGGCTGTAAGCAAAATATTATAGGGTTGTTTTGGTTTTGGTTTTTTTGAGGATTCCATGAGGTCACTCTCCTCCCTTGTGTTCAATGAGAATGATTTTTCATACTTTCCATCTACTTCTAAGTCTTTTTTCTTCTTAAGTCCTGGCACCGTAATGTCTGCAGCCATTTGGCACATACTAAATATACTCCGTTTATGTTTGTAGAATGAGTGATGGAAGTTTCTCCCTCTGTTGTCTTTTGACTTTTCCTTTATAATATGTGTATCCCCAGCTAAATTATTAGCCCTTAAAGGAAAGGACTTCCCCTTTTATATCCCTCACCACATACACACTGTGCTCCGCAAAGAACCTGGGAGATGGTAATTACCTTGTTGAACAAATGAATGCAAGGATGAGTGAATGAATTTGTTGAACACCAGGGAATAGTCCAAAGTCAATGAGTATTTGTAGAGGGAAGGACTAATTAAGAGAAACGCCTTGTTTCTGGGTACTTTCAAACCACAGAAAGGATTTTAGACATCCAAACAGAAGACTTATTTTATAAGCCAAGGAGACAGTAAATCTACTGAGATCATTTCTCTGCAGGGGTCTCGTGGCCATCCAGCTCCAAATCTGTTTGGTCACAGCCAGTGCAGAGCATCGTACTGTACTGTACTGTAGTCCTACAGCCTCCTCCCTGCCCACCCTTCACTGGCCTCTTGTCCTCGTCCCCTGCCAGGAACCCCCTCGGTGTGCCTCAGTCAGGCCTGTGTCTCCGTGACCAGCTCCATCTTGAGTTCCATGGACCCCACAGTGGACCCCTGCCAGGACTTCTTCACCTATGCCTGTGGTGGCTGGATCAAAGCCAACCCCGTGCCTGATGGTCACTCACGCTGGGGGACGTTCAGCAACCTCTGGGAACACAACCAAGCCATCATCAAACACCTCCTTGGTAAGTAGCGCCGGCCAAGGGGGACCAGTGAGGGGGCTGCGGAGGAGGGCTGCCAGCAGGAGCTCCCCGGCCAGGCCAGTCGAAGGAGGAGCTTGGCAGAATGGGAAGACCGTAGGCTCTGGAGCAGATGAAACTGGGCGAGAATGCCTGTCCCGTCACTCGTGCTGTCCTGAGTAGGCTGTGGACCTCTGAGCCAGCCTCTTCATCTGTAACGCAGGACTACCGAGACCCAGACTGGGGAGTTTTGAGAACTAGAGAGCGCATGTAAAGGGAGAGCACGGCATGTGCGTGCCTCGTAGATGCATGGGAACTGGCAGTTGTGGTCTTTTTTTTGTAGCTTCAAGCTGCAACTTGGTTGTTGGCTAGTTATTATCGACTGTGATTTTTACAAGTTGTGAGCAAAAGGAATCCAGGCTGAGCACACAAGATCAGATTTTACAGTCGTGAGCAGTCACGACCATTTATCTGAGAGTTACTCATTGTAGGATGCAATCTGCCGTGGCCTCCTGATAACTGGGCTTGTATGATAAGCCTCAAGCCAAAGTTCTTCTCTTTGACCGTCCTGAGGCCTTCGGCACCTCTAGTTGACCTTGGTATGGGTGATTTTATGCTTAGATTAGAATCCCATGTCTGTCGTGTTTGCAGCTGCATCCTAGACAATGTTTATTGAATTGACATCTGCCTGTTGGGTTCCTCCTCCATGTGAAATCACGACAGTCCCTGCTGTCACATGGAGGGGTCCTGACAGGACCCCCTTAGGAGCTGAGACCTTTGCCATCTCTCTCTCTCCTGCTGACCCTATCCTGGGACCCTCAGTGGTAGGAGAGATTAGATCATGAAAAGTCAGTCCATCCATCAATGAGAGAACTTAGATTTGACAAATACTAAGTTAAAATCTTTTTAAAAACCCTCAAAATACTAAAAGTAGGTAAAATAAAAGAAGATGCCTTAAAGGGGACAAATCCTCGCAAATGAACAGAAAGCTTCCTCCAGGAAAGTTTTCTAGAAGATAGGAAAAGATTTGAATTTGATAGTTATAAACTTTAGGCAACTGTGTCTTTTAGATGAAAGGAGACCCCTTCTTTCTTTCCCTCCTCAGGCGGCAACGGTGCTGCTGGGTGAGCCCACCCACCCTTTCCCTTTGGCCCCCAGCAGCTCCTGGGCAGGGCTCCCCGCGCGCCGGCACAGCCTCCTGCATGTCTCCCTGAGGGTCAGAGCAGGGTGGTGGATGGAAGCATCTGCCGCTCTGTGTGTCAGGAACAGCAAAGCTTCTGCCTGCTTTATGTTCCCTAAGTCCTTTGGAAGGAGACACAGCAGTTCACTTTAGAACTAGAAGCTTAAAAGGCAAACCTGCCTGTGGTAGCCAGACTGTACCTCAGGGATGTCCCTTCCCTAGCGCCTAAAGGCACAGCCGGGAGCTAGACAAGCATTGCCAGCCGAGGAGGGAATAGTCCAGGTAAGGCAACAAGATGGGCTAGTGCCTCCGAGTGCAAATTCTGGTTCTTCCACTTCCTGTGTGATCTTGGGTCAATTGCATAACCCCTCTGGGCTTCTCCTGTCACCAGTACAATGGGAACTATGTCTCCTGTAGGTTATGAAAATTAAAAGGGAAAATACATATAAAGTGCTTTGTTGAAATCAGCCTGACACAGTGCGGTGGCTCTGTTTACATTGGTGTTACCGTTATTAACCCTTGACTTTTACATAGGACTGTGTAGTTTACAGGGCAGTGGGCGCGCGGGGCGGAGTGGGGGGGGCGGTGTTTTGTTTTTGAAGATATCATCCCATTTGACCCTGTAAGGTAGAAGCTAGGAAGTGCTTGATAGGTGAGGTAACGGGCCCTCAAGGTAGGTTAGGAGGTGGCAGAGCTAGAACTTGCCTGAATTCCGGTCATGTGTTCTTTAACTGTCCACACCACCTCCATCAAGTATCAGGGACGGGTACTCGTTGGAGAAGGGCTTTAGGAAGCATGGAGCAATGAGGGTCCGAAGGGGAGAGGGAAAGAGACTGACATTTGTTCGGTATCTACTGCGCGCTGTGCTCTGTCCGAGGCTCTCTGGACCCACTGCCGCCTTTGTCCCCATGGCTACCCTGGGTTGTAGGCGCTGTGGTTCCCACTTAGTAGATGAGGAAACTGAGGCTCCCAGAAACTAGGTAACTTTGCCAAGGATATGCTGCCAGTCAGAATGGAGAGGGGTTCCAGCCCTGGGAGTGCCAGTCCACAGAGGCAGCAGGGGAAGAAGGGTGGATGGCAGGAGCTTTACCTTCCCAGGTAGGCCCAGAACTGGCCCTTGTATGCGGTGCCTGCGGGTCCTGATCCCGCTGGTTCTGGGGCTGGTTCTTATCAGGAGGACCTTGGGTCTGTTCCAGGACTGAGTCCACCCCCAGGTGGCAGGGCTCATGGGGCGTGGCCTCCAGTCTCAGGCCCTGGCCTTACAGTCACCCTGTCCCTGATGGTCGAGATGTGGGTGGGGAGCTACACTGAGCTGGGCACAGAACAGGCAGAACCGTGTGTTCAAGCGCCTGACCCAGGGCCAGGGTCTGGTGGTATCAGGAGGCCGCGAGGCAGGGTTTTGAAGTCAGGCAGACCTGGCAGGCTAGCATCTCGCCCGTGTGGCCTCAGACAAATGAACCAGCTGCTCTCCAGCTGAGCTTCCTCATCTGTGACATGGGGACAGCCGTACCACTTACCAAAGTTCCTGTGAGTTTTGACTTGCATGTGTTGGTCAGAGTGCTTCGCGCAGATCCGGGCTCCTCGTAAGTGCGCTTGGCAAAACAGAGCTGCCCGTCTCAGTGTGGTAGGTGAATTCCTGGCCAGACTTCTTCCTAACAAGCTGCGGGGCTGTAGAAAAGCGGCCCCACCCCTCAGGGCCCTGGCGCTTCGCCTGTAAGGTGGGAACTAACGCAGAGCATTAGGAGGGGTGTTCTAAGGACTCATTGGGTATTTGAAGAGTAGTTATTGCTGCTTTTATTTCTTATAGAAGTGCTGACCTGCACTGGTTATCGGGAAAGGAAGTGCGGGGCATGCCCGCGACCATGCTGGGCTGTTTACTTGAGTTTTATCAAACCCATGGCAGCAGCCCTGACCGGTGTGGCTCAATTGGTTAGCGTCATCCCGCAAAGCAAGAGGTTGCTGGTTTGATGCCCTGTCAGGGCACGCGTCTGGGTTGTGGGTTTGGCCCCCAGTTGTAGCTCTTAGGAGAGGCAACTGATCGATGTTTCTCTCTCATACTGATGTTTCTCTTCCTCTCTTCCTCCCTTGCATCCCCTCTTGGGAAAAAAAAATGATAAAGGCTCTTTCTGCCCATTTTACAGATTAGTTTACAGCTAAGACTCACAGATGCAGAGGAAATGTGTTTCCTAGGAAATGCTGGAGCTGGGATTCAGGCCCTTGGGGTTCCAACCTGCATCCTTTCTCCACTGACTCCTCCGAATCAGAGGCAGAGCCTTCTCAGAGGCCAAGTGATTCACCAGACCCCTGCCCCCCGTAGCCATTGGACTGAGCTCTCCAGGCTGGGCAAGACCTGGCCCAGGCCTGACGAACACAGCAGCTGGGCCACCCCCAAGTCGCGCAGGCCAAGAGCTTCCCCAGGAGATACATCCTGGGGTCGCCTCCCTCCAGGTCCATTCCTGGGCACTAGCCTGGAAACAGCCCCTCACCTATGGTCTTGGTGGCTGGAAACCCCTGAGACGGCAGGAGGCAGGTGCGTGGGTGACACAAAGATTCGGGACCGTGGGCCAGCGCATTCTGGGGCTTATGGCCAAGCTGCTCAAAGCCTCAAGACAAAGAGGCCTGCCGGCTTCGGGGGGGAACGCAGACTGGTGGGGGTTAGAACAGGTGGGGGGAGCCCAGGCTGTCCAGGGTGGCCCGGGGTGAGCTTCCCTAGGTGGAAGGAGGAGAGGGGACAGTCAGAGTGCTGGGAGGACAGTGTCAGCCGGCCATGCAAAGCAGCTGTTATAACCAGCTTGCCTGTGACCTTGGGCAGACCTCTCCTTTCTCTAAACAGTGAACTCACCCTAACCTACTCAGAGGAAATCCAGGCAGATCTGTAGCAGGTGGGTTGAACCAGGCCAAATGCCACTGTGGCATGTCCTTGCAGCCTGCTGGCTGGAGGGCAGTGACCTTATCTGCATGAGACACAGATGTCTCATCCAAGAGACACTGCCGCCTACCCAAGCTGCCAGCTTGGGCTGTCCCCATAGGAGGCAAGAGTGCGACCTGACTTTATCAGGGGAAGGATCACTGCTTAGGCTGGGCCTAGCCCTAAGCTTTCCCGCTTGTGGTTTTAGCACAGATTGTTCAGCCAGTCAGCAGACTTACCTCACCCCTTTTCAGTCCTGGGAGACTTTCCTCGCATATGTTTGCTCCTTTATGCCACCAAAGGGCCTCTCTGGGCTTGAGTTACAATTACACTTTGTGCACCTGTCATGTTTATCTTCTATTATGAGATTAATACAAGGGAAAAAATTTAAAGCCTGCTTGTTGTGACAATTCGAGCAATACAGATTCCATAAAGAAAAAGAAAAAGTTAGCGGCCTCCCTCTCTTCTCCCCGTTGACACCAGCCTCCCTGAGACGCAGGCAGAGTCCTTCCAGGGGCATTAAATTTGTCCATGTCAGTGACTTGGCAATTAATCATGTCACCCTGAGACATTTCTTGCATTTTATTTTGATGTGTTTCTCCAGCATTTCCTGTCTAACGTTGCTTCATCTTCCTGTGCAATCTGGAAACGCTGGGAAATGCTTCCCATCCGGCACCAAGTCTGCGGCAGTGGGCCCAGCTCCCACGTTTGGGGAGGGCCAGGCAGGCTGATGGATGAATGGACCCACGGGTGGGAGGGGTGCCCACGGCTTCTCAGCGGCGCCCCAGTGCCTTAGGTCTTCCATCCCGTTTTCTGAGCCAACCTGCAGGCCAGGGACGGAACGCAGAGAGCGAGCTTCGGCTCCTCCTGGCAGCCTCCGCCACTCACTTGTGTGACCTTGGACAAGTTACCTAACCTCGTGCCTGTAAATTGGGCGTGATACTAACACCCACTGGTGGAAATTGTTGCAAGATGCCCTCACGCAGCCACGCCCTCACACAGAGGACGCAGTTCATTTTCTCAGGGAAGCTGTGGAACGCTCAGGTTCAAACTCCAGCCTGCTGCCCCTCAGCTCTGCTTCCCTGGGCACATTCCTGGAAGTGAGGTGATAATACACACCTCAGCGTGTCCCTGCGGCAATGAGAAGAGCCAGCGCGCGGGCCTGGCCTCAAGTCGGCACCAGGAAGTGGTGATAGTGTTATTATTCTTTTGATTCTTCTGCAGAGAAAGGAACTTCCTTTATCAGCTCCCCACACCTCCTGACCCCCTCACAGGATGGGGCCCCTGAGGGCTGGGACTGTCTGAGCTGAGTGTGTGGCTTTATCTAAGATAAACACTGGTCCTGCCCTGGTATAGAGCTGGAGACCCCCGCCCCTACTCGCGGCCCGGCCGGAATTCCCAGTAACCCTGTCTCTGCTGTCTCCCGGCTCCCTGGGCATTTGCTGGGAGAGGCCGTTCCAATACAAACTCCCAGAGGAAGAAGCTGGCCAATTAAATGGCATGCTGCCTTTCCTCTCTGGGACTTTCGGGAAGCGTCTGAGGAAGTTTCTGGAACTTGGGGTCCCTAGAAGGAAGTACCCAGGCAGTCGGGAGCCCCGGTGCCTGGCCCTGGGCTGCCACATTATTTCCATACCACCAGGGCCCTGGCAGTGCCACCATCTCCAAAACGTGGCCCCAACTCTGACCTGGGAGGTGCTCTTGTTGATTCCTCCTTGACGATCCCATGGAACCTTCTTCTGAAAAGTAAACCCAGGCAAGGGCATGTGTCTTAAAGGAAACTAAGCTTTTCCTAAAGAGAAAACTACCAGTGGCTGATTTCACTTTGAACCTAAGCCCCCTCCCTCAGGCCGAATGATGGATACCTTTCTCTGGGGAGTTCCCAGAGCACTCACTCATTCAATCATTCAACAGTTATATGTTGTACATTAACTATGTGCCAGGCGCCGCTGGGTGCCAGGCATTGCATAAGGAACAAGACTGTTTTTTCCTGTGGAATTACATTCCAGCAGGGAGACAGACAATAAACAGATAAATGAGTAAATAAATAATCTGGTTATGGAGAGTTAGAGCTTGGAAAAAAAATCAAGTAGGATGTAGGCGGGGCCTGAGAGGGAGGAGAAGGCTGAGAAGGGATGGGCTTCCCAAGGAGAGTCCTTTGTGCGGGACCTTGAATTTGGGGAGAGGACAGACCGCAGGACGTGCGGGGAAGAGTGTGGCAGGCAGGAGGAGCAGTGAGCCCGGGGGCTGGAGGGAGAGGGGCCGGCGGCAGGCGGCAGCGGGAGGTGTCAGGGCCCAGATCTCTGGGCGGTGCTTCTCAACCTTTTCTATTATTGCCCCCTCCTCAAATTTTAATGCCAAAAATATACTGTATCGCTGTTGTGTGCTGTATGTACACATAGAAAGAGTAAGTTGTTTCTGCCCCATAAGAACAAATTCTGTCCTCCTCGGGGGCAATATTGCCCCTGTTGAGAATGAGTGGTCTGGAGGCAGTTTTAAGGAATTTGTACACAATGGTGTCTGTTCGGACCCCGAGTAGCTCAAGACACAGCCCTATAAACGCCCGTCCAGAGATCCATTTGGATGCCTAATGGACATCTCCGACTTAAAACGTCTAAACCCGAGCGGCCTATTCCACTGCCCCATCCCCAGCCCTCAGCATCTCAGCAGCAACCTCGCTCAGGCCGAGGAATCTTGACTCCTTTCTCTCCTGCTCCCACTGTTTCATGCCCTTTCCCTGCTGCCACATGGCCTAGGCCCCCTCACCACACACATAGTCTGGGACAGTGGCCTCCCACCTGGCCCTCTCGCTTCAGCTCTTGTGCCCCTGGGGCCTGCCAGGTAGCAGGTGCCCTGTGAGGAGCTGGGAGAATGGGCCGCAGCCAGGGGTGCTCCGTGAAGGAGCGGTGGAGGGGCCTGCCCTTCTCCTGGGCTCCTGCCCCCACCAGCGACAGCGTGGGAGCACAGGCAGTATGAACACTAACTCTGGTGGGACCCTCGCTCCTGTCCCTTCCTCCCCGCTGCCTCGTTCCCTCCCCGTGCAGGCGTGATCCGGCACCGGCCTCACCCCCTCTCAGCCCCCAGGTGTCTCAGCCCCCAGGTGCGCTGTCCTTCCCTAAGAGACAGGCATGGCGCTCTGCTTTCAGCAGACAGTGCTGAGGGCTGCTGTGTGCCCACCCGGTGCTGGGGGAATAGGGAGGGCCAGCGGGCGAGGCGGCCCGCGCATGGCCAGCGCGCAGCCTCCGCGCCGCCGACTGCTCGCTGCACTCCCCAGAGAGCTCAGGCGGGGGCCCCCGGCCTCCCCAGCCTCCCCGGCCAGCCTCTCTCTGGTGTGGTCTCACCGCATCCACCCCACTGTGTAACCAGAGCCCTTCGGGACTATCAGGGTTGGCTGGCTGGCCGGCTGTCTCACCCCCTGGGCTGCGGGCCTCATGCAGGCAGGCGGGAGTCCGTGCTGCTCACGGCACCACCGCACTCAGCCCAGCAGCCGCCAGATCACAAGCACTTAATGGCACTTGTGGGAAGATGATGGACCCGGCACCCAGGGTGTGGAGCTCAGAGGAAGGGAGACTGAACCCGTGTGGGGCAGCCCCGCAGCACAGGGGAGGAGGAGGCTGCATGCTCTCCCCGCCTCCCAGGGGTGATCCTTCAGGGGTTGCAGACGGACAGGTGTCGGGGCAGGGGGTCCATCTGGAACTTGCTGTAATGAGCACAGCCAGCCGGTCCCTGGAGCCTTTCTTTGGGCCTCTTATCTTGGTGGCCTTGAGGCACTGGGGGAGGGAGGGGCCAGGCCCTCTCGTGGGCCAGAGCGCAGAATGTGCCTCCTCTGACGCTGGCCCTGACATTTCAGGGTCACAGCCAGAGCCAGATGTGGCCAGACAGCCAGGCGCTGTGCTGCTAGGTGTGTTGTCATAGGAACGCAGCCCCTGGGAGCGGGCGGGGAACACTCCGTTGCTTTTCCTGAGATGCTGCTTTCTGTGTCTGAGGAGCAGGGAGAGGGCCCTTCCTCCCCCTCCAGGAGGCCCTTCTCCTGCTGGCAGGGAGGGGACATACGCAGCTGTTGCCGAGGCTGGGCAGGGGCAGCCTGTGGCCGCGAGGGCTGTGTGTATACCCCCCCCCGCCCCCACCCAGTTCCTCGTAACTGCAGTCCTTGAACCTCTGTCCCCTGTCCCCCTTCACTGCCCCAGCCCTCCGCAGGGCTGCCGCCGGACTTCGGCAAGGCAGGGGCCCACGCTCCCCAACAGTGAACACAGTGATGCTGTTCAGGGTAAGAACCTGGGGACAGAGAGCTCTTGGGACGGGCTGGGAAAGCTGACTAGACTAGACAGGAACTGACACGCACTTTTTGTATCAACTGGATGTGTACATCACATGGATGTTTTTCCTCCAAACTACATGCCCTCTTATGCTTCCTTGCTTTTCCTCACTCTCCTACTCCTCCCAAACCCAGTGCCCTTTCCTCTCATTTCTCTCTGGTGAAACAGGACATGCTCTGGAGAACCCCTTAACCCTGCCCCACCCACTGGGGTGACTTTTTTCTGGGTTCCAAAATCATTTGCATTAATCAAGGTGCTTTGATGTCTTATGGTCATTTCTGTGCACGTCAGTGTTCGCTGGTAGGCCTTGAGCTCCGTGGGCGGAGGGAGAGGGTCTGTTCACCCTGTAACGCCTGGTGCCCAGACCAGCACCTGGCACCCAGGAGGTGCCCAGTGTCAAGAGCCTTCCTGACTGAACCTCTTGGGAAAGATGACCTCTGAGAGAGGCCTTGAAGGTGAGGAGAGTTGGACAGTGTCCCATGCCAGAAGAGCCAGGCGGCTTTTTTGATGTGCTTACTGTGTCCTCATATTGGAAAGGAAACCTCTTGAGGACAGGGATGTTGTCCTTTGCGTCCCCAAAGCTTGTGCAGAGTAAGCATCTAGTATCTGTTTGGAGGAAGTAGGGTTTGGAGGGGGGTCTTTCAAGGAAGCAAAGGAAGGAGTTTCAGGGTCTGGGAAGGACAAATATGAAATGAGGAAAAGTGGCCAGAGCCGTGAAGGGGTCCCCAGGGAGGGAGCAGCCTGCTCAGAGGGAGCTGAGGGGATCGGGGACCCTGGCGGAGTGTGGAGCAGGGCTCTAAGAAGCTCAGGCACAGGAGCACAGGCACATAGTAGGTCCTTTGTGACCTGGGCAGCAGGAAGTGGTCACCTTCACTGGGTGCAAGTGGGACCCCATCCTGCACTTTCACACCTACGGGATCATGACTCTCACAGGTGGCACCTAGACCAGAGCCTTAAGGACAGAGAGAAAGGGACCATCTCCCGGGTGTCCCAGTGTAAGGGGCTGATATGCTGCTTGCCGGGTTTGGGAAAGGAAATGGCAGACAGCTTCTGAGTCAACAGTAGTCAAAGTCTGATGGACATGCCCGGCCCTCTGGGGAAGAAGCTGAGAGTAAATTCAAAATGAATGAGGCCTTCAAGGCTCCCACCCAGCTCCCGTCTTTATCACAAGAAAGGCCGCGTGGGGTCTGAAAATCAAGATAGGCCTTTGTCCTACGCACCAGGCGGGGTGTTTGGGCCCTGTGTGGGCCGGCAGGGAAAGCAGACTGTCCTGCTGGGTGGCCCATGCTGCCAACCCAGGGACACGTCTGCAAACCCGACCGCCTGAGGAGGAGAAACATGTTATATACTCTTCTTATTTGCAATCGGCTCAAAGCAGGGAGCCCCTCCAGTTGGCCAGGCTTTGCCCAGGGGCGGTCACACACCTGCTCTGTCTGAGCTCCCCACCGCTGCCCGGACAGGCAAAGGCCTATTGTCTGTTGACGCCTGACAACCAAAACCCCGGAAAGGACCACCCAGGGCCTCCCGTGTGCACATGGGGGCATGTCGCAAACTGCCGTCTCTTATCATTCCAGAAAACTCCACAGCCAGTGTGAGTGAAGCAGAAAAGAAGGCACAGGTGTACTACCGTGCATGTATGAACGAGACCAGGATCGAGGAGCTCAAGGCCAAGCCGCTGATGGAGCTGATTGAGAGGGTGAGCTCCTCCGGCCCGTGCCGCCCGTCTGCCCCTCTGGCTCTGGTCCCAGCTCTCAGCTACCACCGGGGTCAGCCACCTCACGCCTCCAGCCACGTCGCCCAGCTGGAGGGTAGAGCCTGTCTGCCGACATGGGTTCAGGCTCTCTGAGCATGAGTGTGTGCGCGCGCATGGATGCTCACCTCTCTGTGGGTGGGAATGTCCGTGTATTTGTGTGGGCATGTGTGTCAGCATCTGTCATGGATGTCTGCTACACATATGTGGGTCTCTCTGAGCATCTGTGTGCAGGACAGCCTGTGTCTACAGAGAAAACCTTTCTCTATCCTGCCACTTCCTTGTCCTCGGGGAGTGTGTTTGTGTGTGAGCAGGGGTGTGTTCCAGAAGGCCAACAGAAAGCCTTGGACCAGATGCAGAGCCCTCCCACTGACCAGGGCCTCCCTGTCCTCCGGAACAGGAGAAAGAGTCTTTCTTCCTGGGCGCCTTGGACGGACTCCCAGGGGGCCGCCCAGGCCTGGCCAGGCTGCCTGGTGCACACACAGGGTAGCCGTGGATGTTTTCTAGCTGCCCCGGGCTCCCTCCAGGCCCCATGTCCTGGCTTGGCTGGCGGGGGTGGGGGAGGGGGAGGAGATTGCAGCAGAGTGGAGAGCTGTGGGCACTGGGGACTGTACGGTCCCTTCCCTTTGGCACAGGCCACCATGTGCCAGCATGTGCTCAACCAGGAACACCAAGGAGATTCTTAAAACCCCAACTCTGAGAGAAACTAAAGTAGACCATAGATTACCTTACCTCTTTAAAAATACAGAGCTTTAGGCAAATTGAATTTATGTTTCAGTAAGAATGACATTCATGTGACGTAGTATGCAAAAATAAAGTGTACCAGAAAAACCTTTTTCTCATCCCCGTCCCCAGCCTCTCAGGGAGCAGCCACCACATGGATTCGTGGCTCACTTGTCTCCAGTGCATCTGTGCTCCATCCAGGATCTCTGGCTCACTGGTCAGAAACGTGAATGAAGACCCTCCCTTTCATGTGCTCTTGAGGCTCAGAGAGGTCAGACGGCCCCTCCGGGGTCGCAGAGCAGGTCAGCGACAGAAGCGGATTTTGCACCTGTGTCTCCCTACCACCTCATGATCTCTGTTTTCTCTCCCTGCACACAGCTCGGGGGCTGGAACATCACAGGGCCCTGGGACAAGGACAATTTCCAAGACATCCTTCAGGTGGTCACCTCCCACTACCGCACCTCACCCTTCTTCTCCGTTTACGTCAGCGCCGATTCCAAGAACTCCAACAGTAACGTGATCCAGGTGAGCTGGCCTGGAATCCCAGGAAGAAGGGCCAGGACCTCATGACGTTTTTTCAGTTTAGCAAGTGCTGACTTGGGGCAGGTGAGGAGGGGCCTCGCCCTGGTTGGCAGACAGGCCTCTGCTCTCTGAGCCCGGGCTGTTGCTGGAGGCTCCCAACTGGGAGACCAGAGACCATTACAGGCAAGGAGGTTTGAAAGGGCAGGCCGCCTCCTGGAGCAGGCGGGGTCACTGCAGCTCCAGTAAGTCTTCAGGGTTCTGACTGGTCACTGTGAGCTCCAGGCTTGATGTCAACCCCTAGGCACAGCTGGAGCCACATCTTGGTCCCCCCACCCCAGCCCCCAACCTTTTAGCTCCGCTTGGAATGGCTTTGAGTCGATCTTTTCCTGCCAGAGCCTGTCCCAGGCTTGGGATCATGAAGGCTGAGTTTCCACCCTCTCTGCCACTCACTCACTGTGGAACCTTGGGCAAGTGCCTCAGCCTCTCTGAGCTGCAATTTCCTTATCAATCAAATGAACTATAGTAACACCTGCTCTGGGTCTGACAGGGTGTGGTGCTAAGGCTCTGACAGTAACTACCAAGAATTGGTGCCCCTCACCTGCCTCCACGCATCGAACACTCTCTCTTTGATTCTTCTTTCCAGCTCTGAGGGTTAGATCCTGTTTCCCTATTTTCCAAAGGAAGAACCTGAGGATCAGACAGGTTCAGTTACTTAACCAAGGTTACACAGCTGGTGGGTGGCTCTTAACCACCGCCCCATCCTGGGAAGTGTTCTGTGAAATAGAGGTGACTTTCTGGGCCTAGGAGGCGTTGAAAGAGGAGGGTGGCGCTTTCTGGCCCTTCAGGGAGGCCCAGAATCCCTGCGGCTGCCGGGATCCAAGACGGTCCTCCGTGGCCTTGTGCCGGCCGTCCCCAGGGCGGGTGGAGGGCGTGCGATGTGCGTGTGCAAAGGGAGGTTCCCTCTCACTCCTGCCTTTCTCGCTAGGTGGACCAGTCTGGCCTGGGCTTACCCTCCAGGGACTATTACCTGAACAAAACCGAAAATGAGAAGGTGAGCGGGCTTCTTCAAAGACAGTGCTCCCACCCCCAGCCCACTGCTCTCCATGGTTTGTTTTTGCACCTGCCCCCCTGCCCCGTCTCCCCTGAGTGTTCACACCTGTGCAGGTCTTTGAAGCCAGAGGAACACTGAAGTGTCACTGACCTGATAGGGACATGCAATCCCTGGCAGGGCAGAGGTGTCATATGTCGCCATGTTAGCGTGAGGCTGTTTCACATTCAGGCACTGTGGGCTCACCAGGCCAGGAACAGGTGTCATTTGTCCCCATTCTGGAGAGATGCAGTGACACAGCCATTGCCATTTGTGGGTGCCAGGCCTTTTGTACACACCAACCCTAGTCACCCTGCACATAGCAAACATTTCCTCTGAGCCTGATTCGCCTCATCTGTCACATGGGCATTATTTGTACTTTGCCCGTTTCAGAGGAGAGAGTAATGCTCAGAGATGGTAAGTGACTTGTTCAAGGTCACTTAGCCGGTAAGTGGTGAGACTGAGATTCACATCCAGACCCACTAACTCTAAAACCCACGCCTTCCCATCCCCATCACTGCATCCCGTGATGTCCCCGGGAGACCTCATCTGAAGTTCGTCATCTCTCCATTCATCATCACCCACTCGTATTGAGCAGGTACCTACTCAGTGCCTGTTGCTGGGGAGATAGTGGTGAACAAGGCAGCCTGGTCCCCGCCCCATGGGGCTTAGGGTCCAGGGTAGGGGAGGCAGATGTTAATAAACTAACCACCAGTTAGAGGCACGATGACAAATTGTGATAAGTGAAGGACGAGCTGAGAAAGTAACTTGGAGACCTAATCCAGAACTGGGGGCCCAGAGGATGGCAGTTCGGTAAAAGGGGGTTCCCGAGACTGAAAGATGTCCCCTTGGAGGCTCTCATGGGTCGAACATGTGGGAAGGGACATGGACCAGAGTAACAGGAATCAACCCTTTTGGGGACCTGTAGCCTTTGTCCTGAGGGCCACAGGGAGCCAGAGTGTCGGTGCACTGCCAAAATCAGTCTAGAAGCCAGTGTCCAGTGGGTTCCTGGGTAACACACCCTGCCCCTCCGTCCCTGCACTGGGCCGCAGCCGGCCCTGCCCCAGCCTTCCACCCTTGAGCCCTGGGCAGTGGGCAGCAGCTGCTGACAGATGGGGCGTTCTGGGTCCTGCAGGTGCTGACAGGGTACCTGAACTACATGGTCCAGCTGGGGAAGCTGCTGGGCGGCGGGGACGAGGATGCCGTTCGGCCCCAGATGCAGCAGATCCTGGACTTTGAGACGGCGCTGGCCAACATCACCATCCCCCAGGAGAAGCGCCGGGACGAGGAGCTCATCTACCACAAAGTGACAGCAGCCGAGCTACAGGTAACTTGAGCGTCGGCTGGGACAGCCACAGGGCTTCAGGACGTAGGGTGCAGGGCTGGGGGGTTAACACCCGCTTTGTCAGATCCTCGGAACCACCCTGTGAAGCGGGGCTGGTGGTCGTAGCCAGTTCACAGATGGAAACACTGACTGAGGCTCAGAGAGGTGAAGTTACCCGCTCAAGGCCACACAGCTGGTGACTCCAAAGCCAGGTGCTTGCCTGCTCCAGGCTGCTTTTCTGTGCCAGCATCTGCCTGGGGAGCCTCGGTGGTCATGGTGATCCCTCACATTGCCTGGGCACTTCCAATCTCTCAAGCACCAAGCTCGTCAAGCCTGAGATACACAGCAAACAGCCAGTGTGAGCGTGGTGGGTTCTGTCCTCACTTTGCCCTTCTTTAAGCCAGGAGGTTAGGGTACATGTGCAAGGCCAAGAGACTCCTAAGTGGCCAGGAAGCTGGACATTGGAATCAGGCTGGCTTGATGGAAGCTCTGCTCCTGACCATGACCCTGCTGACCTCCTGGAGGTGGAACCAGGTTGGGATCAGAGCTGTGAAGCTTTTTGTCCTGAGTGTAACCCATCTGAGAAGCAGTCCCTCCATAGCTCAGCCTTTGTGAAAGGCTGCCCCCTGGTGGCTGCTTGGGACTTTCAGGTCCTGAGTTGGCCTGCCAAGTTCCTCCTTTCCAGTTCATGGGGTGTTGGTGTCCAGCCTTATCCCAGGCCCCCAGGGTCACAGAGAAGCCAGCAGAGTGGCCTCAGCCAATCTTCCTCTCCCCTGCCATCGCCCAGGAATGCTTGATTGGGCTTTGCTCCCTCTGGGGAGGATGTCTGGGCCACTTGTGTTGGGATGCCACTAAAATGTCTCCTCCCTCCCCTCGGAGCAGCTGAGTCCTGCCCATGCATTGTTAGACTTTGGCTCATTTCCTCTCCTTTGTGGAAGTTGGGGAAGGTGAGTCTGGCGAGTGGGTGAGCAGTAGCCAGCCAGACCAGGTATCCCAGGTGAAGGTGCAGCCCACGCAAAGCCTGGCCTCCTTCTGGGTGCCTCCTGCTTGCTGGGTCCCCAGAGAAGCTGGCGTCAGGCTGAGCGGTGCTGGGTGGGTTGTCAGGAAGAGCAGCCGCCTGTATTGGGCACCATCTGGCACTGTTTTTCTGCTCTGAGGCCAGGTCGAGGGAGATGTTAGTGTAACATCGTTTGGTTTGCTCCAGCTGCCCAGTTCTCAGCTTGAGAGAGCCCAGCAGTTTCTCGGCCCCCCACAGTGGCCGTGACGCCAACAGACTGCCCCGGGAGGGGCCGAGAAGGCAGAGTCCAGCTGGGCACAGCAGCCCCAGCCTGCCTGTCAAGCTCTCCTGCCGGCAACATATCACCATTGCTTTTGTTCTGCTCTCCCAAGCTAAAAAGGAAAGCGTTTGCCTCCCTCCCAGCTGCCTAGCTTTCTGGGTGTGCAGGCCTTCAGCAGAGGCAGCAGCCTGGAGTGGTATGAGCCCTGGGCGGAGTCAAGAGACTGCTCTGGCCCAGCCCCGCCACCCGCTGTGTGACCTTGGGCAAATCGCACAGCCCCTTCTCTGAGCCTTGGTATCCTTCCTTGTACAATGGGGCTTTGCTCCTTCATTCACCCCTGCTGTGTGCCAGCCAGAACACAGAGACAGATGAGAGGCAGCCCCCGCCCTCGCAACAGTAAGTCACAGAGTCCTCTGAGAACAGGTTGAGAACTATGGAGTGTCTCTCAGAAGAAACAGGCCTACATACATATAAAATACTGACATCCAGCATTTGAAGGCATTCTGGACCTTGAACACCTGTCTCCTGGATAAGAACCTCTGTATGGCCTGCCCACGGGGTTGCGAGAGGATATGAGGAAGCAAAGGATGGGATTTCATTTTGTAAAATGATATGTGCGATTCAAATATATTTTAGTAATCATTGTTAGTATTATGCCTTTGTTACTGGTGATCCCAGCCCACGTCTCCGACACTAAACTAATTTGATTCATTCCACCCTTGCACAGAGAATGTCTTGTTCCCTGGTACCTGAAACTGGTGTTCTTCCCATACTCCTGGTGGAACGCCAGCCTTCACAGTGGGCTTCTAGGCTAGCCCAGCCAGAGCACAGTGCTTCTGGACTAGCCCCCAGCAGTCTGAATTCAGAGCACTGAGTCAGACATCCTTCTGTTGTTTTTCTGGGGGCCTGAGGACCACCCCCCCCCCGGTCCTTCCTAGGACCTTCCACACCAAAAGGTGTTTGGGAATGAGCCCCAACCTCTTTCGGTTCCCCAGCTGAAATAAAGGCTGATGGCATCCTTGTGTTCTCGCCCACTTTCCTGGCCTACTGGAGCTGGTTGGTTGGTGACCCGCGGTATTCTTTGGCTGCGGGTATGGAAAATAGAGCTCATCTGTGAGCCCCAAGGATTTGAGTCAGTGGAATGTCCTAGTTGGTTAAAACAGCCATCTCCTTGGAGACAGACCCAGGCACACATGTTTAAGTTAGGCGTTCTCTAAAGGAACAGAGATTGAAAATGTGAAAATCTTGGTATTCGACACTCACCCTATCTCAGAGTCATGGGAATTTACTTGCACGGAACACCAGCTGTCCCAAAAGGAACAGGCTTGTGTTAAGTACACAGAGGTTTATCTCCTCCTGATATCTGTGCCTTGATCAGGGTACCAGTCACCTGCAGTTGGCGAAGCTCATGTTAACTGTTTAAACAGTGACATTTTTGTACTTGGCCAATTTCCCAGGGGTCTTGGCCAGCAGGTCACATAGACAGGTACCTCTAAGTGTTGAGGCTTATTGGACCATCTCACCTCAACATCTCTAAGTTGCGCAGCCATAGAAATGCTGGGGGGAGGCCCCCGAGGCTGACTGCTTGAGGGGCTCCTGCCAGGAAGAAAGGGAACTTGGGTGTGTTGAGTATGCTGTCCTGAGAGGCACAGAGCAGCCAATGCAGGAGTGGGAGGTGGGGATTTCCCCATTTCAGAGAAAGGCTAGGTCTTCTCAGTCCAGTACAAGGCTCTTCCCGGCTCGTCTCACTGCAGAGCAGGCTGGCAATTGCAGGAGCCTGCCAGGCACGGCTCCTCCCCACGTGGGAAGCCTGCACTAGGCCGTGGTGGAAATACAGACCAACCAACCCCCACCCCCCGATTGTCAAACCCTTGCCCATGGGAGCTGCCCTCCTCTGTCCTCTGGGGTCTTTGTTCCCTGGCAGATGAGCTGCCCTTGAAAACCAGACATAGGAGTACACCTGGGTTTTAGACCTGCACAGCCACTAGTTAACTGTGTGACCCCAGAAAAGTCACTTTAGCTCATCTGCAAATTCCATGTCTGTTAAGTGAGGGTTTTTATGGCTGCCTCTGCCACCGAGGATATCATAGGTACTTCCCAACAGTTTATAGATTCAGCCGATGGTATAAGCTTCACCATGGGAAGGCCATTTATAGTGCATCTCTTGCCTGCCTTTGTCCTGCCTTTCATCCTGCCTCTCGCCCAAGGGAACAGAGACCAGAATTTGGAATTGCACGAGCCCAGGCCCACTTTTGGGAGGCCTTGAGTAGCGATTACAATAGCTAATACTGATTGAGTGCTTGCTAAGCGCCAGCGACCATCCTAAGTGATTGATGCATACAGGCGCTTTTGCTATAACACAACACATGTAGTCCCCCAAAACTTCACGTTCTGTGAAATTACAGGACCAAAAAAAACTAAACTAAAAATAACAAGACACATGGAAAAATAGGTCTAGAGCAGACCATTTAAAACTTACACAACCTTTCTCCAGGGCATTACGCTAAGTGAAATAAGTCAGTCACAGAAGGACAAACACTGTAGATTCCACTTACATGAGGCAGCTAGAGTCACCAGCCTCATAAGAGACCAAAAACATGGAGCGGTGGTTTCCAGGGGCCTGAGGAGGAGCTGGAGAAGTTCTTTTGCAGGCACAGAGTTTCAGTTTTGCAAGATGAAATCTGTGGATGGATGTTGGTGATTGTTGCATAAGGATCTGCTTGTACTTAATGCCGCTGAACTGTGCACTTAAAAAGGGTTAAGGTGGTAAAGTTGAGACGTGCATTTTTACCACAGTTCAAAAAAAAAAAGTTCTGTAACTTTGTCATCAAAACACTCACAAAACAATCATTGGAACCTTGAGAGATCGCGCAACGTGGCTGGAGGCGGCTGGCGGGAGGTGGAAATGCTGGTTGCGGACATCAACCCTGCAGACAGATGGAAGCCCTGAGCTGTGGGGCTGCCCGCAGGGCGGGCCAAGAGCAAGTGTGACCTGCCCAAAGCTCAGAGCAACGCAGAGCTGGCTGTGCCTCTGCAGGGAGGGAGCTCCTGGGCAGGTGCTCATTTTAAATGATCTTAAAATAGCGCTGACAGGCTTCCTGTAGGGGCATCAGCTGAGCTCAGGGCTTTTCCTGCCGTGCTGAAGGTTATCATTCTACACTTGCTTTCCCAGATGCCAGGCCTGAGAAATATTACCTATGGACCAAAACAGTTGACACATTAAACTGCTATCATTGTTCAGTTTAGCAGTTATGGAGAAGGCCAATCAGATAGAAGCTAATTGATGTTACAGAAGTGCCTGTTGAGTCCAACAGACAGTATTACCTCATTTAATCCTCACACCAACCTATGAGGTGCGTTCTCTCATTATGATGATCCCCATTTTCTAGATCCCAAGGCACAGAGGGGTTCATCGTCTTTCTCAGGGTTACATAGCTTGTGAGTGAGAGAGCTGGAGTACGAACCCAGGCAGTTTGGCTCCAGACTCTACACACTTATCCATCGAGGCCTGTCTGAGGCTCAGTTTGCTCGTCAATAAACTGCGGATAATTGTACCTGCCTTCTAGGCTCGTCATGAGGGCCAGCTGAGATGTGTGAGCTGTTAGCAATGGCCCCTGGCGTGGGAGGGGCTCGGTCAGCGTAGCTCCTCGCTGCTGCTCGTGTGTCACCTTTACCACATCCTAGTTTCACTTCAAGTTTTGCTGCCTTAGAATCCTATGTTCCCTGTTGATTTCTTTGACACCCCTACTCACTTTTCTCTTAGCCAAGGTGTTAGTGTGACTGTCATACAATTATGTTTTCCATTAAACCAGAAATATATTATTTGATATTTATCTTATATATGTAACCTGAATTTTGCCACCTAAATGTTCACGTGTTGATTTCCTACATTAAAATATTTTTTGGTTAGGAATTTGTCATGTTGAGCGACAGTTTACTATGGAAAGTTCCATTAGCCATATGAATTTTGACATGTTACAGAGAGATCAGTAATAAAATATTTTGTGACTATATTTTTAGAAAAAGAATTCTATGTACAGCATCTCTGACAAAAGTCAGCAAGCCTTTGTTTGACATCTGCCCAGTACATTGTCGGAGAGCTCCCAGCTCTTCACTTTGTCCAAGGATGGAAGGCACAATGACAGCTTCCTCAGAAGACTGCCCTGGGGACCTGGGCTGTGATTAACACTGTTCTCTTCTCTTCCAGACCTTGGCGCCTGCCATCAACTGGCTGCCCTTCCTCAACACCATCTTCTACCCCGTGGAGATCAATGAGTCCGAGCCTATTGTGGTCTATGACAAGGAGTACCTCAGCCAGGTCTCCACCCTCATCAACAACACTGACAAATGGTAGGGGCATCCGGCGGCCTGGGACGGGCCTCCTGCAGACAGCCTTTGGGGTCACACACTGCTGCCTTCAGCTCAGGCGGGATGGCTGAGTGATAACAAACTGACTCAGGAAATAGGCGCTGGAGCTGGCTTTCATGAGAGGCAGCAGGGCACCCCGGTTATGAGCACAGGCTCAAGGCCCAGCTCCTTCACCGACTAACTTTAGAGCCTGGAGCACGTTTCTTGCCCTTTCTCAGGTTTGTTTTCTGCATCCATAAAATGGGATTACAAATAGCATCTACCATGTAGGGTTGTTGTGAGACTTCAGTGAAGTAATCCATGTGAAGTGTTTTAATATGGTACCTTGACATGGAGTGGGACTCAGTAAATGTTAGCTAATGTTTTTAGTTAATATTTATGATTTTTTAAAAGATTTTATTTATTTATTTTTAGTGAGATGGGAAGGGAGGAAGAAAGGGAGAGAAACATCAGTGTGGGAGAGATACATTGATGGGTCGTCTCTGGCACACCTCCAACTGGGGACCTGGCCTGCACCCCAGGCATGTGCCCTGACCTGGAATTAAACCGACGACCATTTGGTTCACAGGCTGGCACTCAATCCACTGAGCCACACCAGCCAGGGCTGATTTTTTTTGTTTTGTTTTGTTTTTGAAGATTTGTTGTAGAAATTTTTGAAAACTACAGAAAAAAATTATAATTACCCAAAACACTACTGTTGATCTTATGGGATGTGTGTGTGTTTGTGAGTATGCATATGTGGAGAGAGAAAGTGCAGGCGCTCGTGTGTGTGTGTGTGTGTGAGAGAAAGAGAGAGAGAGAGATGGATCTCTAACATGTGGTTCCTTCCCCGCCTCTGCACCATTGTGACTAGACGTATAATCTGCTTTTCTCTCGACTTTTATCATGAGCATTTTCCGTATGCCATCCCAAACCCTCTGCAGACCTCATTTTTCATGGCCACATAGTATTCCATTGAGAAAATTTATGATTATTCACCCCTTCCCCTGTTGGTTTCAGTTTGAGGCTAGCGACAAGCACGTATTGAGCACTTGTGGTATACAAATCATGGCACTAGGCACTGAGGGCTTTTCAACAGAAGACCCAGGTGGTGCCCTTGAAGAAATGACAGTCCATGTACTTAGGGAACAGCACCAGACAAACAGACAGGTGTAGGAAAAAAAAGAAAGGAAAAAAAAAAAAAAAAAAAAGCACCTGGCATCAGAACACTGGGTCTGAGCACCCCCTAGAGGTCAGTGGGGGAAGTGCTGCGAAGTTTTCAGCCCAGGGCACTTACCTTGTCTCTCCTTGCCCCAGCCTGCTGAACAACTACATGATCTGGAACCTGGTGCGGAAGACAAGTACCTTCCTTGATCAGCGCTTTCAGGATGCTGATGAGAAGTTTATGGAAGTCATGTATGGGACCAAGAAGGTGAGCCTGTCACTGTGGATTCCCATACATGTTGAGTACCTACTGTGTACCAGGCTTTGGGTTGGGGGCTGGCATAACCACGGCACCCTGCGGGGCCGTGGAACTTGTAAGGGAGGTAGACAATGGGCAGAGAATAAAGAGGGCCACTGAAGGGGGTCTGCCCACGTGTCCCTGAGCACAGGCGGGGACCTAAGCCAGCAAGGGGTGGGGAGAGTGGACAGAAGCTCCCAGGAGGAGGCGGTTACACCAGGTCTTGAAGAATAAAGAAGAGTGTTAACGATTTAGCTAATTTATAGCAAAAGGTAGCCTCTCTTCTCTCTCTTCCAACGCCTTCTCAGTGGTGGTGGTGATGATAAACGCTTTCCTTATGTAAGTCATGTGCTCTCCACATGCCCTACAAGGTGGATACCATCCCCATCCCCCTTTTACATAGAGGGGGTATCCCCCATACTGTTCCCCGTAAACCCAGAGCATTTGGAGCAGCACCTGGCTCGTGTAAACATGACAGGTGTTCACTGATGTCATTATCCTCCCGGGCCCCAGACCACGTGGTCTCCACCACCTTTAAATGCCCCCACATTCTTGCGGAGGTCCCAGAGCTCCAGGCCCAGAGCTGCGGGTCCCTCCCTGCAGCAAGCTCCCTGGTCCTGACTCCCTGTGCAGCCAGCCTCAGCCGGATCCAGGGGCAGCCTGCGTCCTTGCCCCTTCGGGGAGGAGTGAACATGTCCAGGTGGACACCTGGGTGAGAGAGTTTAAAAGAACTTGAGCGACTAAACTTACAGAAAGTTAGAGTGCCTTTCTTCCTTCTTTCCTGGAAGGATTTTTTTTTTTTAATCTCTTTTTAAAGATTTTACTTATTGATTTTCAGAGAGGGAAAGGGAGGGAGAAAGAGAAGGAGAGAAACATTGATGTGTGACCGGTTGCCTCTCATGTGCACCTGGGGACCTGGCCAGCAACCCAGACATGTGCCCTGAATGGGAATCGAACAGGCAACCTTTCAGTTCCCAGGCCAGTGCTCAATCCACTGAGCCACACCAGTGAGGGCAGAGTTTTTTTAAGTTTAGGTATAATTTACATAGAATAAAATGTATACATTAAATACACAGTTCAGTGAGTTTTGACAAATGAAATCACCCATGTAACCACGCCCCCCTCAATTTATTCAGCATCCTCTGAACAGAAAGATCTCTGTGCCCCTTTCCCATTAGCCTCTGACACCACAGCCCCAGGTGGGTGTAGGTGGCTGTAGACAGAATCATATGCTAGTTGCCCTTTTGTGCCTGTCTATGAAATGTGCCCATGTTGTATATATCAGTAGTTCATTCCTTCTTGTTGCCAAGCAGTGTGCTGTTGTATAAAAATGCCGCATTTTGTTTAACCATCTGCCTATTAATGGGAGTTTGGGTTGTTTTCAGTTGCGGGCTATTGGGAAGCAGGTCACCCTGAGCCCAGGTAGCTTTTGCCACCTGCTGTTCAGGGTTCAGGGAACTCAGCTTCCCCTGCAGCACAGGGATTTATGGAAGCGGGGCCCCCATTGTGGTCACACAGACCACCCACAGGGGGCTGCGGGGCAGGGGAGGGGGTGGGGTGTAGCCTGCCCAGGTGTTCTTCGCCAGCCGGGCTCCCCGAGGCTGTGGCCCCAGCGGTGTTTGTCTCCGCTCACACAGGGGTGTCCTATAGGCTGGTGAGCCGGAGGGGGAGACCGAGGACAAAGGGATGCTCAGAGTCTTGCGGTGTCACTGTGTTCTTTCTCTAGGTGGCTTTTTAAATGGGGCTGGGATCCTGGCCTCCTGGGAAGGTTCTCCTGTTGCTCAGGGGTAGACATGGTAACTTCCCAAGGTCTTTTGTTCCCAGGATTCTTAGCCTCCTGCAGGAAGTAGGACACGGTACAGGAGGAAGCGTGGGGTGTGGGTCAGGCGTGGCACAGCACCGGTCACTGTGGGACCCCAGACCAGAGACTCTGTGCCGAGTTTCTGCTTCCTCGTCTGTCCCAGACTCGTTGCGATGGCTTGACAGGAAACCATCTGTGAAGTGCTGTGCGCAGAGCCTGCGTTCAGGAAATAGTAAATTGCTGTGATGAGGGATGTTCCGTAGGCTCTTGATCCAGCATCTAAAATAACTTGCACTGGGTCAGAAAAGGCTTCCTTGAAGTACTGGCAGGAAGCAGGGGCCCCACCTAGTGCTACCTCTCAGATGAACAGGGGTCGGGAAGGAGGCCAGGGACTCAGTAACCCCTTCCACTTACGTTTTCAGACCTGTCTTCCCCGCTGGAAGTTTTGCGTGAGTGACACAGAAAACAACTTGGGCTTCGCCCTGGGCCCCATGTTTGTCAAAGAGACCTTCGCCGAGGACAGCAAGAACATAGTAAGTGCCGCTCAGCCTTGAACACAGGCTGTCACATCACGCCACCAAGGGCCCCTCGTGACCTTGGCAGTTTACACTCTAGTCTGTCTGGACCGTCCCTACTCTGGCCCAGGGCTCCAGCCTTAACTCCACGCCTCGTTTTCTGAAGCCTTGAGTAGCGTGAGGTACTCATGAGAGTTGCTCTACTCGCGTGCCAGGCCTTTGGGCTGTGTTACCGCATTTAATCCTCGCCGCAGTCCCGCCTTCTCCACCCCCAAGGGTGTGAAGGTCCCTGACAGAGCAGTGCTGGCCTAGAGTGTGACGTTTTTCTTTACTCCAGGGGTGACGGATTGGTTCTAGATGGGCAGGGGGGACAACACTCTCACCGCACGTGTAACACGGGGGCGGGAGCGGCCGTCGCACGGCGGGGAGAGTAAGAAGATACTGCCCATAAGAGCGCCTGGCACAAAATTAGTGTTCAATAAAAGGCAGCTGTACTATTGTCGTTATAGTTTTTGTTAGTAATGTTAAATACAGAGGTATTATCCGCAGTCAGAGGTTAGCAAGTGGAACCTCAAACCAACGACATGACCCACCCATGAGAGGCTGATGCGGAACCTGAGTCCAGTTCTGTCGCCCGTCAGCCCCTCTGCTCTTTCTGCTGCGAAACTCCACCTTCCCGGCTCTAGAACCTTCAGCTGCCAGGGCTTCCTGTGACATTGCCCTTGAGAACAGCGATTCCGCACCAGCCTGAGCAGAGCATTTCTCAAACTGCTCCTTAGAACTCAAGTTCTCTAGATTTTAAAGCTCATTCCATCAAAAAGGAATCTGTGGTCCAATAAGTCTGGGAAAGGCTACGTATTCTAGCCCTCTCCAAAAAGAACCGCACCGCATGGTGCACCTTAAAGGCTCTGGAAGGTCGTGCAGCAAAGAGACTGCTCCAGCATTCTCAGAGCTTGCCCTAACTGGGTTTGGCCACGGAGCCTTGACTTATGGATCATTGGTGATCTGAGGAGCAAGACAAGGGAACATGGCTGTGTTCTCCCTTCCTAGCCCAGCACCTAGGAGCCTGAGGCTTTGAGCCAAGACCTGAGTTCAGTGTCTGGCCTGGCGACATCCTTCTGCGTGGGGTGCCCCAACCTTCAGGTTCGGCTTCTGTCTCCTCAGGCCAGCGAGATAATCCTGGAGATCAAGAAGGCATTTGAGGAGAGCCTGAGCACCCTGAAGTGGATGGACGAAGACACACGGAGATCGGCCAAGGAAAAGGTGAGGCTCGTCGGGGGCTAGAAGGACGCGGCTGCGGCTTCCTGCCCAGGGGCAGCGGCCACCGACAGAGGAGGCCGGATGAGGGAGAGACTGTATCCAGATGCTGCCCAGCCTTCGGGGGTGGGCAGTCCAGCAGGATGGAGGGCCAGCCTTGAACACACGGCTGCATTAATGACTATGAAAATGAACCACGCCAAGTGTGGGAGGAGGCGTGTCTAACAGAGAGTGAAGGGTCTGATGTGGTGGGGTAGGGTGGTGGCCAGAGAAGGCTTCCCTTAGGAAGTGACATTTAAGAGAGACCCAAGAGATAAGTAGGATTTAGACAAGAGAGGAATCTTTCCAGAAAGATATAAGAAAGCCCTGGGCGAGGGGAGGGGGCGGTTGTGAGGGGAGGAGCTTGGCCACGACCCTGAGCCTGGCACCCACAGAGCATTGCTGGGAACTCACTGTCCTCTGTCTCCCCTGTCCAGGCAGATGCAATCTACAACATGATAGGCTACCCCAACTTTATCATGGACCCCAAGGAGCTCGACAAAGTGTTCAACGACGTGAGTAGCTCCCACCCTGGCCGCTTGCATTCCCAGTTGCCCCTGAGGCTCCCCACTGGGGGAAGGGCAGAGGCAGGCTGGGTCCCAATGGGACGCTGGAGGCACCATGATTGTCAAGACATCTTGAGAGGGTGCAGTGTGGGCTTTGGGGATGGATCAGGCTCGAGGAAGCTGGTTCTCTGCTCCTTTGTCTCCTGGGCCAGCGAGAGGCGCCCGCCTCCCTGCAGCCACCAGCAGTCAGTCCCGAACAGCACCATGTGCCCCGCTGGAAGTGGTCAGCTACACTTAATGGGTGGGAAACAGTGGGGGGTAACAGAACTTAGAAGGCGCAGAGAGCATTGGCGCCCCTAAAACGTCAGTGGACGAAGGAGAGCGCGGAGCCCCTCATACTCCTCCCCAGCCCCAGAGTTATCACCTGTCTGGGATCCTCCCCACTTTCCCAGAGAAACCTGGACCCCAGATTTGGCCCTTGAAATGCTAACGAGAAAAAGGAAGCATAAATCTCAGATGCACGTTGAAACTTCACTTAGGCAACAAGAGTAGTTGATGTATCAGTTAGAACTTTTGACAAATCCTTCCTTTAAATGGATTGTGCTTCTGTCCTAAAAGGTAAATTTTTGTGTCTTTTTGTGATTGAAGTTCATAAATTCAAGCAGTTTTGCAATTATAATAACCTCTCATCATATTGATATTTAAAACCTTAGAATATTAAAATCCCTTTTGAGAACGTGAGGCACATCCTGAAGCCTCTTTCCTTGAGAATAATTTAAGAGGCCCCAGGGTGTCACACCGCAAGACCAGGGTCCTGGAAACAGCCCGCAGGCCCAGGGCGCTGCCCACAAGGGCCCAGGTGTTTATCGGAGCCTGGTGGTAAAGCAGGAAGCTCTGAAGGGGACCTGAGGGGGAACTGACCGAGCACCCAAAGAGAGCTGGGAGGCCGGGCTGAGGGGTGAAGAAGATGTGTAACAATGCCTGTCCCCTGACGTGTCAGAGATAGACCAGCCTGGTTTATGAGATCTGTGCTGTCCAGTATGGTAGCTACCAGCCATAAATGACTACTCAATTAAAATTAAATAAGATTTAAAAGTCACACTAGCCACATTTGAAATGCTCCATAGCCACACATGGCCAGTATCTGCCATTCTGAATAACACAGACATGGAACACGTGCACCATCGCAGCAAGTTCTGTTGGCAGCGCTGGAGAGCCTTCCTCCCTGAGGCCCATGAGCTGCTGCAGGGCCTGGGACACCGCTGGGCATCAGAGGCCCTGGGGGAAGCTCTCTGTGTCTTGGGAAGAGGGTGCCAGGCCGCAGCAGGGTGAGGGCTGAGGGAAGAGCCCCAGCCTGCAGCCCCGAGCCCCATTCCAGCCTCTGACCTGCGGCCCGCTCCTGTAACCTCTCGGGCCCTCACTATCCTCAGCTTCAGAAGAAGGGGTTTGCCTTCTAGGATCTGAGGCGCCGCCCCACCTGGGCGTGCTCTGATCCTGTGACTGTGCTCTCTTGTCCAGTACACGGCAGTCCCAGACCTCTACTTCGAGAACGCCATGCGCTTTTTCAACTTCTCATGGAGGGTCACCGCCGACCAGCTCAGGAAAGCTCCCAACAGAGACCAGTGAGTCCGGGCCTCGTGGGAAGGTGCTGGCTGCCGGCACAGGGGGCTGCTCCGTGCTGAGCGCACCTCTGTGGCGCACGTACCCTGTGCCCGATGTCACTGTCCTAAGGGCCCTCCAAGGGGTGGGCACTGTTGTCATCCCGCTTTTCAGAAGAACCCGAGGATCAAGGAAGCGTTGCCCAGGCCGGAGCTGGGATTGCCCGAGTCTGTGTGCCCCCGCAGGAGGCTGTGGGCCGAGGAGCCCGGCCTCTGGAGCTGAGCAGACCCGGCATCAGGTCGCAGCCCCAGCACTCGGAGCTGCTGGGACAGTCACGTGTGAGGGCCTCTGGGGAGCGTCACACAGAGGAGGCCCTCGGCTTGGGCTGGCGTCCTCTAATTCCTCACCAGCAGGAGCGCTGGGTTCGCGAGGCATGGGGAAGATTCCAGGCAGGCCCCCGACAGCTGTTGTTCCCCAGCCTCGCTGCACATCCAGGGTCTCTGGGGAATTTTTTCAAAAAGGCACCTTTCTGGCTTGTCCCCCAGATTTTCTTAAAGCAAACAGATCTGCAGCGAGACCTGGTATCTGCTCCTTTTTTTCTTTTTTTTTTTTTAATAGTCTTCTCAGAACACTCAGATGTAGCCAGCCCACTACTAGTTCTCAGACTAAGCTCCCTTGGTGCCTAAAACATTTTGCAGCCAATAAATCTTACCAGAGGGGAAAAGCCACTGCTCCTTGCCTCTGGTGCCCCCTGGTGGACAACAATCTCTTTCCTCTAAGTTTTCCTTCTACAACCAGGGTACCCCTAAAATGCGCAAGAAGGTGGTCTTTTGTCCCCAGAATATGGCACAAGCACTGCCACAAGGTTCTGAATTTATCTGGGTTTTTTTTAATTAGGTCAAGTTTTTAAAATTTAAATGTTATCTTCTACACATTAATGTATTCTTGATTATTTTAATATAAATAGGATGTTGCCAAGTTCTCAGTATCCTTTCATGGGTGCAGGCACCCCTTCATTCATCTCTGTGGGGCTCAGCACCTGCAGGAGGCAGAGTGACTGTCTAGCTCTTAGAGAGAATGTCCTTCCTGTGCCGTCTCACTCCTCACTGGCCCTCCCCTCAACACCAGAAAAATCATTGAGGGGCTAATCAATGATTTCAATACTAAATACCACCAGGGTCCCTCCTACACTTTTTAAAAATTATTGGACCTAGAGAGCTTCTCTTATGAAGATTATATCCATTTATTTGCACATTTATGAAAAAACTATTTTATAAGTTTAATGAGGAAAAAAGAGGTATTGTTTTACTTACAGCAAATTTCTTTAGCGTCTGGCTTAATGGGGAACAGCTGGATTCTCATAGCTGCTTTATTTATTACATAGAACCTGTTCATACAAGGTAGTTCTGAATTACAGTGCGTCTGTTGCAGTATATTGTTTTGAAATATATAAAGAAAATTGAATCTCACACAGATGTGTAGTTAGAAAATGGGAGATATTTTCATAGTCTTTTCTGATACTAGTGCACGTTCTTTATTGACATTAAACCAAAATTCAACAAGTAGTCGTTTCTTAAAGGCAAATTGCAGTGTGGAATCAGAAACTACATCTGTGCACTTTTCATACTCTTGCCCTCATGCATGAGTTTTAACATCATACACTAGGCGTTTGGAAAACAGCAGCTCACAGAGTTTTCTGTATCTCCCAAATAGTGACACTTTTATCATAGAGTATCCGCCAAAGTCCACACCTCTTAATATCAACACTGACCTTCTACGGAAACTCTAAGTATTGGGAAGCTGATGTTTGTGGTGACAGAAGTTTTTCAGAATTTTAATATTTTTAAAAATATTTTATTTATTTATTTTTAGACAGAGGAAGGGAGGGAGAAAGAGAGGGAGAGAAACATCAATGTGTGGTTGCATTTCGCGTGCCCCCTGCTGGGGACCTGGCCTGCAACCCAGGCATGTGCCCTACACTGGGAATCGAACCAGCAACCTTTTGGTTCACAGGCTGGCACTTAGTCCACTGAGCCACACCAGCTAGGGCTAGAATTTTAATTTTTGCTTGAAACATCTAATTTTTTTTTTGAAACCTCGAATTTTTATCATTGGTAACAAATGATAAAAATCGTCAGTTGTTTTCTTTGAGGTGACAAGCTCATTTTATCATTTTCAAGAAAACACCTGCCAGATACACATGTCCGAAATGTCACAGTTTGTCGGTCATCCTCAAGTACAGGCGTGCTGTTGCGGACTTCCCGTCTGGGCACACAGTGTTGAAGGTCTTATACTCAAGGGTCTAGCTTTAATGAAATTAATAATTATGCTGCATCATTGAGGATATTCTTAAGTGAAAATGACCCTTGAAGAGCCTTTTTTCCCCTAGTGAAGAGCACAGTGGCCACCAGAGCAGCTGGTGCCACGACTCTGCTAAGGCTCCAGCAGTTCTGTCCACCGTTGCTTTTATACCATCCACATAAACATCGACACAGTGGAGAGGACAACACCTTAATGTCATTATGGAAATAGAGTAACGTCGCATACCCTCCACCCCAGGAATCTGCAGACCACATTTTGAGCTGAGACAATGATGACTCTTCGCTATATAACCTTCCCTCCTGCTCTTTGTAAGGGCCTGGGTGTCCCATTGTGTTGTGCGATGTCAGATTTACCGTATTTTGCTGTGTATAGTGCGCACTTTTCGCCCAAATTTTTGAGGGAAAACTAGGGATGCGCATTAGTATATGGGTAGTACTAATTCCATATCTATATAAGGTTTTTAGTTCTTTTATTTATGCTTATGCATGAGAAGTGTAACGCTAGAAAGTAGTAATGCTATTTGTATGTTCAAAAATAAATGCAAAGATTACTTTATAATACAGAAAACAAGTATCTAAACATAAATAAGTAATTGAATTAAAACAAAAGTCCCCCCCCCCGAAAGTTTGGGCCAAAAACACGGTGCACATTATACGCAGCAAAATACGGTAACCGAACACTTATTTATAGATACGTAGGGGTTTCTGGTTTTCTCTGAAAAACCGTGTTGCTATGGTTGTCCCTGTACTTGTGTGTGCACTTGGGTCTGGGGTCAAGAGTAATCCACGTTTTTAAGGCTCTTGCTATCCTCCAGGTGGGCTGTCCCCACGTGCCCTCCCCGAGGCTGTCGTTTTCACGTGTGTGTTGCCTGCAGGTGGAGCATGACCCCCCCTATGGTGAACGCGTACTACTCGCCCACCAAGAACGAGATCGTGTTTCCAGCCGGAATCCTGCAGGCCCCGTTCTACACCCGCTCTTCACCCAAGTACGATGCTCCCGGTCGTCCTGCCCCATCTCCTTCCCCGCCGCCCTCAGCAGACCCCCAGCCTGGCCCTGTTGGCCGCAGCTGACCATGCAGTCAAGCCAGTCCCACTGAGCACCCTTTGCCCCCCTGACCCAGGGAGCTTGGGACATGCAGAGAAGTTTTAGAGAGAGAACATCCTCCCTCCCTCTGTTTCCCTCCAAGGCCTCCTGGTTCTGGAAGCCCCTGCACAGTGGGGCCTTGGGGGCGGTGTAGAGCAATGCGCCTATAGAACAGTCACAGCTGGGGAGCTGGGAAGGGCGAGGACGCTGTCTCAGAAAGGAAACCCACACGGGCCGCACTGTACTGACTGGGTGGCCCTTGGGCAAAGTGAATGCACCATTCCAAGCCTTAGTTTGCCCATTTGTAGAGTTGGTTACTTGTGCTGAACTCTTTTGAGGTGACCAACGAGGACAGTCCGTTCTGCGGAGCATCTAGCACAGTGCTCAGCGTCCAGTGGGCGCGGGCCGATCACAGCCGACTCGCCCACCTTCCGCCTGGCTTCAGGCTCAGGCTGCAGCCGTGTCCCCGCAGAGCACTGGGGCGCCCCTGTGTCTTCGGGCCTGGCAAGCAGTGCTCCCTCCCTTCGTAGCCTCACTCTCGCCTCTGTGTCCTCCCCTCCAGGGCCTTAAATTTCGGTGGCATCGGTGTCGTCGTGGGGCATGAGCTGACTCATGCTTTTGATGATCAAGGTATGGGTTCCCTGGGGTGCTCTTCAGGTGGGGCCCATCAGCTTCCTGGCCCCACTGATTCTGCTTTTGCGTCCCTCACTTCTAAGAGTCTTAGCCTTGAGACATAAGGATCTGGGTTCAAATCCTGGCTCTGTCTCCTTCCGACTGTGAATTTTAGCAAGTCCCATCATTTCTCCAAACCTCTTGTTTCTTTGTCTGGAAAAGGGGCACAATGACCCCAGCCTCGTGTGGTGATGGTGAGGGCTGCGTCAGACGCACAGTGGAGCACCCTGCTCCCGGGAGGCATCCAGCCCTCGGGGTGGGTGGTAAGTGGGAGCAGATACCTGTCCACTACCCCCACGGTCGAGGAGTTGAGGTCATTCCCCTCCTCACCCACTAACATCCAGAATCCTCCCCATTGCCTCTTGCCTTGGGATCCCTAGGCCAAGACGGAGGAGGCAGGACCTCCAAGGCTGTGACCCTACTGCCACCAGCTCCATTTACCCGTCTTGGGCTCATGGTCAGAGGCCCTTAGCAGCCTTGACAATGAGTCCACTGAAACTTTGGACGTGCTGGTCCCTTGCCTGGATCATGTTCCTCCATCCCCTGCCGCCACCGGATTGGCGAATTCATCTGACCCTTTACTGTTCAGAGCGCTGAGCGGTGCATGGGTGCAGACGGATGCATCCCTTTCTCACGGGGAGGAGGGGTGCAGTCGGCAGCAACAGGTCCCAGTCTGCCTCCTCTTCCCCTTGACCTGACGCTTCCCTCTGACGCTGCAGGGCGGGAGTATGACAAGGATGGGAACCTCCGGCCCTGGTGGAAGAACTCGTCCGTGGAGGCTTTCAAGCGGCAGACCGAGTGCATGGTGGAGCAGTACGGCAACTACAGTGTGAACGGGGAGCCGGTGAACGGCCGGCACACCCTCGGGGAGAACATCGCTGATAACGGCGGCCTCAAGGCGGCCTATCGGGTAAGAGGGCCGCTCCCCACACGCAGTGCGGGCCCAGGTCTGGGTCATTACAGACAGGCTGGGGCAAGTTGTGGTTGCTCTGTGAGCTTCAGTTTGCTCATCTGTGAAATGAGTGTAGTGAGAACTAATTGAGAGGGTGTCTGGGAAAGCACCCAGCACAGAGCTTGGCACGCAGAGGGCTTTCTGCTCTTGAGGGCAGCCTGACAGAGAGACGCAGGACAGGGCTTGGGCTGGACCTGCTGGGAGCCCTGCCTGTTCTTCCTGTGCAGCCGTGGGCTCAGAAGGAGAGGGCGGGGACACTGGTCATAGAGCCAGATCCAGGTGGAGTTCTGGTTCGGGGGTAAGTTACCCGGCCCTCCCTGGGCCCCTGTGTGCTTGGCTGAGTCCCTAATCCCTGCATCGCTGGGTGTGACGTGCGGCGGCCGGGGCACAGGGCCTGATGCAGAGTGCCACTCAGAAGTGGCAGCTGAGTTGGGTGGGAGAGATAACAGGCCAAGAGTGAAAAGGATTAGGCATCTATCAGAGGGACACAGAGCTTCCTCCTCCCCTTGACATAAGAGCAGAAATACTAAGAGGTGCCGTTGGTTTAGGCCTCTTCCCCATGCCGGGCTCCCCGCTCAGCTCCCCAACCTGTTTGCAGCTGGGTCTCACAACCTGCATTTGCACTTGAGGAAACAGAGCCCAGAAACATTCGGTAGCTGGTATGACGTTCACTAGTCAGCGAACAGGTATTGCACACCTTCCACCTACCACGCGCTGTATTAGACACTGGAGTTTCTATGGCAAGACAGACACGGGCCCCACTCTCCTAAAGCCACAGTTTTAGTGGGGCAGGGAGGGGACAGAAAGGCCATACATACCGAAACAAATGAGGTCATTGCAGGGAGGGCACCGTCATCGAGGACAGTGGAGGAGGTGGTCAGGGGAGGCCCTCTGGAGGGGCTGACATTTGAATTGAGACCCAAATGATGAGGAAGAGGGAGCGGAAGCTGGGAAAGAAGAGTGAGTGCAGGGGCCACGAGACAGACACGCAAGTCCGGCAAGGTCAAGGACAGGAAAAAGGATGAGCGGAGCGCAGGGAGAGCAAGGCCCAGTTGGGGAGGTGAGGCTGGAGGCATGGCTGGGCCCAGAGCAAGGAGCTTGGGTTTTATTCTGGTTACAGTGAGAGTCGCTGCAGGGCTTTTAAGTAGAGGAACAACATGGTCCAATTTAACCTTTAAAACGGGTCAGCAAACCTACAGCCTGCCAGCCAGATCCAACGCTCAGCTGGGTTTTGTAAATAAAAATTGGGGGGATGCAGCTGGGCCCACCCATTTGGATGCTGTGGCGGCTGTCACACTGCAGTGGCAGGATTGAGTGGTGGCAACAGAGCCCGGTTAACCTCCAGAGCTGACAGTATTAACTCTCCGGTCCTTCACAGAAAAAGTCTGCCAACCCCTGCTTTGTAAGGATGGCTTAAGTCGCTGTTTCAGGAGGGGATTGGAATTGAACCCATCTGAGGTCAAGGAAATTAGTTAGAAAGCTGTTATTTGAGTCAAGGAGACAAGTTAGAAAGCTGCTGTGAGGTTGTCCAGGCAAGAAAGGGCATGGAGCAATGGAAAATGTGAGAACTCAGATCTGGGGTGTTCGCTTTGGTTGAAAGCAAAGAATCAGAGGAGTTCTGGGGCTTGGGCCTCAGGACCTAGGTGCCATTTACTGGGACGGCGAAGGGTGTGTGTGGGTACAACCTTTTGTCCTGTCTGTGCCGTGTTAAGTTGGAGATGCATCTTGGAGGTACAGCTGGGGAGTTAAATATACAAAGTATGCATTTGAGAGCCATCTGCACGTAGATGGTATTTAAAGCATCAAGTTGAATGCACTTGCCTTTGGAAGGAGTAAAGAAGACAGCTCTTCTAGTCTGAGCTGGGCTGTCAGAGCGGGTGCCCAGACCCCAGAAACCAGCTCTACAAGGTGGAACACCCGAGACATCCCGCGCTAGCCCCTCCACCGCCACCCTGCTTGCCCTTGTGTCACGGGGGCCCAGAGCGCTGTTTCCTTTCCCCCCAGGCCTACCAGAACTGGGTGAAGAAGAACGGGGCTGAGCAGACGTTGCCTACCCTGGGTCTCACCAATAACCAGCTCTTCTTCCTGGGCTTTGCACAGGTGAGTTCGTTAGGAAAAGGCCAAACTTGGGCACATTCTGCCATCTTGCTGTTCCAGGAGCTCTGAAAGCCAAGGGCAAGGTCCCCTCACTTGAGAACCTCCCAGCTCGCTGGACTGTCCAGGGGCTGCTACCCTGTAGGAGACCGAGCTTCCTGTCACTAGAGAGACTCGAGGAAGGGCCATGCGTGCTATTAGAAGGATCCTGCATCGGTAGATGAGAGGACAAGGTGATCACTAAGGGTCCTTGTGGTTCTGGGGTTCTAGAAATTTCTTAAACTCTGTATGCCCCATGTTGTCCCTTGAGTTGGCATTCAGCATATAGCCTTCTGTTGGTTCTCAGCGCTACCAAGCTATCAGACAGTTGTCCTGCCCAGGAAGTGAGTGTTGTGGACTCAATCTGAGGTTTCCAACATGGTTTGGGAGCGACTCCTTCCTTCAGAGGAAATCTAACGCAGGTGCCCAAGACAGACAGATGCTGCTCCAGCTGCAGAACGGAGTTGGAGGCAACTGCTGTAGAGGATGCTGGGATGGGGGGCGCACCGGCCCACTGTTCCTTTCTAAAACACATGGCAGGCCCTCCTGACTCCTGGGGGTCTCAGAACCAGGTCGGGGGACCATTCCTCTGCTGTCGTGCATGGGGCCAGCCTGGCCACCTCAGGACCCCACAGTGACCTGGCCTCTCCCTTGTTGCCTCCCCAAGGTCTGGTGCTCCGTCCGCACGCCCGAGAGTACGCACGAAGGCCTCATCACGGATCCCCACAGCCCCTCTCGCTTCCGGGTCATCGGCTCTGTCTCCAACTCGAAGGAGTTCTCGGAGCACTTCCACTGCCCGCCTGGCTCCCCCATGAACCCACATCACAAGTGTGAAGTCTGGTGAGGGGCGAGGCACCAACAGCCAAGACGGAGGAGGGGGAGGGGCTGCGGATGAGCCCTCAGGGTGGAGCCAACAAGGCCACCAGTGCCCAGGGTGTCGCCCAGCCCCTTGGCCCCCCCAGGGCCCCCTCCCCCGCACTGGAGGGTTTTCAGCCGGAACTGAGACTGAGCCTGTCATGTGGGTTCTCAGTATGACCCCAGATTTGATCCCCTGTGGAAACCCTGTCATTCCAGGCACACGTACGTCAACTCTAAAGGGCATTTGGGCGTCAGGCTGGTTGTTCACCAGGCCTGGGCCCCACGCTGACAAGGGTCGTGGACACAGCTCCACGCCCACATCCAGTGCCAGATACACCACAAATACCACTGTGTCAAGTGCTTTAAATATATATTTTTGGGGGAAACTATTTTTTAAACATTGTGGAATATACACTGGAAACCTTCAGGGAAATAATGCATTTAAAACACTTCTTTTTTTTTTTTCCTTAAAGGAAGGGATTGGTATATTTATTATGTTCTGTTTTTCTAAATAACCTGTGGACAAGGGAAGCCCCACCGAGTCACCCCCCTCTCCTCTTTACTCGTTGCAAGGTTGAGCTGAGGCAGCGGTCCCTGGGCCGCCGACCGGGCCCCCACACGGAGCCGCCTCAGCCCCTGGAGCGCACCAGGCGGCCTCCGTCTCCTGGTGTAGCAAGGAAAGGCGCGGAGGCCCGGCGGGGGAGGGGCCGCTCCGAGAGCCCCAGCTCATCAGCACCACCTGTCTTAGTGTCCCTGCCTCTGTCCCCAGAGTCCAGCAGTGGGAGCCCCAGCAAGGAAGGTCTGATCCCCAAAGTCACAGACGGGGACCAATGACTGTAGCAGCAAGAGGCCAGGTCAGGGACCTCACACCCAGTCTGGGGTGCCCCAGCCCCCCAGGTCTGGACCGCAGAGCCCTGAGAGGCTGAGACGCACCCCCACCATGTACTCACCTGTACTCTTTTTGTCCCTCCTCTTTTGGCCGCCCCATGTCTGTCCTGGGGGACCTGTTGCACCTCTGCAGCATCCCCCGCCCCAGCCTGGGCCTGGCTCCCTGGACCGCAGCCGTCCTGCTCTGTTCTCTAGTGCCTTACCTGAGGCTGCGGCCCTGGGCGCCCCCCCGGGGAGACGGCCCCTCACCCCCAGGGTCCCTTGGCCTCCTCAGTGAAGCCGCCAAGTATCCCAACTGTAATCTAGGGCCACGGCCCCTGCTCCCAGTGCCCACAACACTGCCTCTCACGCAGCACAGAGCTCGGGCCTGCAGGCCAGAGGCACCGAGGCCAGGGGTCTGAGGAGCCCCCAAACGTGCCCTGAGCGCCATCCCACCCTCAGCCCCTTGGGTTGAATCAGGACAATGCTTGTAGCTAGAGGGACTCCTCTCCTTGGGAAATGCTTTCAGCCCTGGCAACCCAGTCAGTCTGGCCTGTGGTGTCAGGGGCTGGGAATGCTGTCCCCTCCCTGAGGTCACCGTTCAGAAGTTCCCCCAGGAGGAGCTGACTGGAGCCCCGCTCTGGTCCTCTGGGCAAGCAGCCGCCTGGGACTGAGGCAGGAGCCACAGGTGCCACCACGGCTCTCCCATCTCGGCAGCCCGGGCCTGGCCAGGCCCCGCTCCCAGAGGCAGGCGCCTGCCTTGCCCAGGAAGCTGATCCTCCTTGCCCAAGAGAAGCGATGGCTCAGCCACTGCCTCGCCCACCTTCAGACCAGCCCCAGAGCTGGGATGGGGGTGTGGGGAGTGGGCTCTCTGGTCCGTGCAAGCAACAGGCCTGGGAGCTCCTCGCAGGAAAGGTAGGGCAGGACCCAGGCGGGGAGCTAGAGTCAGGAGCCCGCCACGCTGAGTAGGCTTTTCCGGTCCTGGGCCCTCCGTGCCCTCCTGCCTCCCCACCTTCACCATGGGTCACAGTCCTTGAGAGTGTCTGTCAGCGCCATGGACTGGGACCTCCCAGCCAGAAGCAGGTGTCCTAGGGCTGAGGGTCCGGCCAGAAGGAATGTAGTTTGCACTTGTTGCTTCCTGGTGTGCTGAGTGGTGGGAGCCTGGGGCGGCAGGAGGAGGAGGAGGAGGACCTAGCCCAGGAGGATCACAGAGACCCCTCCCCTTAAGCCCAGGGAGCCATTAGGCTGGCTTCTCTGCAGGTACCTGGACATGGGGTTTAGAGCTGGGAATCTATTTTTTGTATTACTATGTTTCGTGCTACTGTAGTTTTGGTGTGGCACTATTGTAATTGAAATAAAGTAATTGTACTGAGGGCCATGTGACTGAGTGTCTTCTCGGGGTGGTATGTGACCTGTGGGGCTATGGGAGGGCACCCCCCGCCCGGTGCCGTCAAGGCCAGCAGCACCTCCTCCCCAGAGCCGAAGCCTCGGGTGTTGGCAAAGGCTAGGTTACTCTGCCTGGGCCCACCTGGTCACTCTTCCATCGAGGATGCGATTATGGGAGCAGCCCCTGCTGGTGAGAATGATGCATGTCACCACCAGGGCCCAAGGGCCTCTGGGTAAAAATGGTTTTTCCTTATCTTGGATCAAAGGATGCCAGCAGTGGGTTTCCTGGTTTCAGATGTGTGGGAAGGGCAGCCAGAGCAGGGAAATTCAAAGAAGTTCAAGGAAGTGTCTGACACACTCGGGCCTCCTCCAGGATTTTGCGTATGTTCTTCCCTCTGCTTAGAGTGGTCTTCCCCTGACTTCTCTGTTTGATACACTCCTGTCCATCCTTTAATGCCCAGCTCAGCGTCACCTCCTCCAGGAAGCCTTTTCTGACCTCCAGCTCAGAGCAGGTGGAATCACACAGGCTTCCCTCTCCCACCAGAGTGTGTTCGTGCTTGGGCTGCCACGACAAAGTACCGCAAGCTTGGCTTGCTTCCACGGCAGAAGAGTGGCCTGTGTAAAGATCACGCCATCCCCCTTCCCCAGCTCCCCAGTGCACTCACTTGCAACACAGGACCTGGACCCTGCCCAGCAGGCCCCACCCGAGCTTCCTCTCTGCACCTTTAGTCTCCTTCCTGCACTTGAAGCCCTTTCCTGCCTGTCCTTCAGATTGGAATGCTCACACATTCTTGCCAACGAATAAATGAATATATGAATTTCTTTTTAAAGCTCCCATGTATTGCATGGCTCCAGTGAGTAAGGCTGTGTGCTGCATCCCCTTAAATGCTCACAGCAATTTTTCCACCCAGGTCCCAGGGGAATAGCGGGGCGCAGGGTTCTGAGCGCAGGGACCTGGCAGGGAGCTGCTTAGGAATACAGGAGAGGCTGCTAAGCAACAGCGATGGGGGGAGGGGAGAGACACGACTGACTCAACAGCAATGGGGAGAGGGGAGAGAGGACTGTCTCTCACATACACACAGACAGACACACACATACACACACACGCGCACGCGCGCTGAAGGTGCAGGAGAGGCATTCCCCCCCCCCCCCCCCACAGAGGTGCATCTGCCTGGCATTCCCATTTCCCAGTGACCAAGCGAACAGTCTCCTTCCACTACCCTGCTCTGGACCCTGGGCCAACCCCGCCCTCACCCCACCCCCTTTCTCCTCCTCCTCTTCCTCCTCCCTCCTCCTCCCTGAGCATTAGACCTTCCCCCAGCTCCTTGCATGCCACTCCCCAAGCAGGAATGAAAACCTCAGCCTGGCCCTTAGGGGTTTACCGAGCAGCTGAGGAATGGAAACACTTGCAAGACAGCTACTTGAGAGCCACTAGAAAATGTATACGACCTATAACAACAATTGTGTAAAAGGGATTCAGCAAGGCTCAGTGTTAAGAGTTGAAGAGCTGCGGAAGGAAGGGATTAGCAAAGGTTCTAAACACTAAAGAACCTCCTACAATAATAACCCCATTGAGAAATGGGCGAGACCTTTACAAAGAAAACTGCAAAACTTTACTGAAGAACATTAAAGAAGACCTGAGTAAATGCAGATGAATACCCTGGCCATGGATGGAAAGGTTCTCTCTAATAAAATGTCGATTTTCCCCAAATTATTCTGTAATTTCAGTGTGCTGTCAACCGAAATTCCAAGATAATTTTTCATGGAACTTGAAAAGTTGTTGCACACAAAAGAGGAAATGCACAATGGCCATGATGGTTTGGAAAAAGAACAGTGAAGGAGCTGGCCTCATCAAAATGTTACAAAGCTATAATGAATAATACAGCGTGATGCTGAAGTAAGAATAGAGAAATTGAACAACTGGAATAGATTAGAGAACCAGAACCAGTTCTGTGTGTATGTGGGAATTGGTATAGGATCAAGGAAGCCCTTTAAATCAGCAGAGAAATGAAGAACAATTTAATAAGCTGGGTTAGGATATCCACGTGGAAAAAAAATCTAGATTCTGCCTCCCTCACACAATTCTCACACACGCTGCTCACAACAATAAACTCTACATATACTAGGGAACTAAATATGTAAAAACCATAAAAGTATCATAAAATACAGGGTGGCGCAAAAGAAAGTTTACAGTTTGTACAGAAAATATAATAATAAATAATAATACAAGAATAAACTGTTTTGTGTACTCACAACTGGAAACCTACTCTTTTCCCATTCTGTATTACTGAATGTGTTTATAAATGGGTTGGCAAAGCTGTCTTTAAAAATGCAAATGGGTGGCAGCCAAAGATGGCTGCGCCCGGGCAAGTTGAGTGAAGGTTGCAGTGAGCCTTGGTGTGTGAGGAATCCCGGAGGAAGCACCGACTTCTGGGAGGAGAGCGTAGAGTACGGACCTTTCGGAGAAAGCAGTGCAACTCAAGATGGAAAATCATGAACCAGTTCATACTGTCAAGGAAAAACAAATTTTTGAGATCATAACCAGAAAAATCAATCAACTTCCAGAAGCAGAAAGGAATCTACTTGAACATGGATCAACATACATTGGACTTAATGCTGCTCTCTGTGGCCTAATTGCAAACAGTCTTTTTCGGCGCGTCTTAAATGTGACACAGGCTCGTATCGCTGCTGGTTTACCAATGGCCGTGATCCCATTTTTGATAGCAGACGTATCTTATAAGGGTTTTATAAGTTTACCCTTGAGTACAGGTGATTTGAACTGTGAAACCTGCACCATAACACGAGGTGGATTGGTTGGACTTGTTCTTGGTGGTATATACCCTGTTTTCTTGGCTATACCTGTGAATGGTGGCCTAGCAGCCAGGTATGCCTCAGCTGTGCTACCAGAGAAAGGAAACATTTTAACCTACTGGATCAGAATTTCTAAGCCTATCTTTAGAAAGATGTTATTTCCTATTTTGCTCCAGACTGGATTTGCAGCCTACCTTGGCTCTAGACAATATAAACTACTTATAAAGGCTCTTCAGTTACCTGAACCTGGCCTAGAAATTCAGTGATTGTTAAACAAATGTGTTTGCAACAATAAAACTGTAAAAAAAAAAAAATGCAAATGAAGAAAAAAATATAACTAATATATTTTACCATTTAGTTCTTTTTAAAAAAATTTTTTTATTGTTCAAATACATTTGTCTCCATTTCCCACCACCACCACTTTGCAACTTAGTTCTTTTCTACAGACCTAATGCAGTCCCTATCAAAATACCAACAGCATTTTTCACAGACCTGAAACAAACAATGCTAAAATTTATATGGAATTATAAAAGACCCCAAATAGCCAAAGCAATACTGAAAAAGAAGAACAAAGTTGTAGGTATCATGCTGCCCGAAATCAAACCATACCACATGGCTATCAGAACAAATTGATGGTCACCAGGGAAGGGGGCTGGGGAATTGGGTGAATAAGATAAAGGGATTAAGAAGTACAAATTGCCAGTTGTAAAAGTAGTCACAGGGATGTAAAGTACAGCATAGGGAACATAATCAATAACATTGTAAAAACTGTGTGGTGTCAGATGGGTACTAGACTTCTTGGGGTGATCACTTCATAAGGTATATAAATGTCTAATCACTATGTCATGCACCTGACACTAATAAAACATTGTGTATCAATTATTGAAAATAAAATTTAAAAAATAATCTAAAAACTGTAATTCTTTTGTAAAGAAGGTACAGTAAGTAAAATTATAAGACATGTGACAGATTGGGAGAAAAATAAAATGCAACATACATAGCTAATGATGCAGTATGTAATGGGAAGAATAAACGTGAAAAAGAGAGCAAAATATTTAAGACTATCCAGAAAAGAAAAAAATGCAAAAAGACGAAAGAAAAACTTTTGAGAAGATAATCTAATAATGTGAGCAATATATTTAAAACCACAATGAGACAATATTTTTCACCCATCAGACTGGCAAAAATGATGAAGTTGGATATTAAGTGTTGCTGAGGATGTAAGAAACTGGGTACTGTCACCCACTGCCAGGACACATTCGACACTTTACTAAATTTAAAGGGCATTTACCAGGACTTCCATGCTGGGAGGAAAAGGGTATCTCCATAGTTTCAAATTTTCCCCACTCACCCCCCAAAAATAATGTAATTAACAAAGAGGAGATAAAACCACATGTGAACCTGGAATTACCTGAAGTAGAGAAACAATTCAAATTCCAACAGAACTCCCACTGCCTGTGTATTCAGAAAGTGGTGGAGCGACCGTTTAAGAGACGCTGTGAAAACTAGGGAAGGGGCGTGGCGATCTCGGATGGGCACGGACAGAGTCACTCCCAGGATGTCCAACACCAAATGCCAAAATAGCGAACACAATTGGGGAAGAGCAGCTACCAGCAGCACTAGCAACACGGAAGAGTCTGGAAAGAGTGGAAAGGACAGCCTTGGAGAAGCTTTGATTCCTGGGGAGAATCGCTTTCCTAGAGTAGGGGTGTACCCTGGGAGATGTGATAGAGAAGGGAAAGAAGGGGTTAAGAATCCTAAATCTCAGGCTGGCGTGGTTCTTTGGACTGAGTGCTGGCCTGCGAACTGAAAGGTCGCCTGTTCTAGTCAGAGTGCACGCCTGGGTTGTGGGCCAGGTCCCCAGTTGGGGGCCTGTGAAAGGCAACGGATCGATGTATTGCTCGCACTTTGATGTTTCGCTCCCTCTCTTTCCTCCTCCCTTCCCCCCCTCTAAAAATAAATTTTAAAAATATTTCTGAAAAAAAAAATCCTAAAAAACGAGATATAAATGTCAACTTCCTGACTCCTCCTCCTCACCACTCATGAAGGATGGCAGGACGGACAGCAGAGGGCGCGCTTGCTTGAGGCGTCCCGTCTGTGAATAAGCAAGACCAAAAAAAAGGCGGATCATGTGCCGCGTTCAAAACCCGTTAGAAAAGAAGTGCAATTCAGAGCATT